TAACCAAAATATAAAAAAAAACATAGCAAGAGAAAAATGGAAGATAAATAGGATTGACACGTGAACGTAAACTTCTCATAACTGGAAGATAAATAGGATTGACACACGTAAACTTCTCATAACCATAATTAATTTTTAAATTGTTAAATCATGATATAAAACTGAGTTAATTTTTAATTTGTTAACTTTTATTTTTTTTTTTTTTTTTTTAAATCATTATGGCTATGTTAAATCATGACAATAATTAATTTTAAATTGTTTATTTGTATTCAAAAAACTTAAAATATTGCTTTTAAAAATAATTTTAAATTTAACATAATTTTTTAGAAAATTATTTTTTAAAAATATAATTTTTTAAAAATATAATTTTCTTATATTATTAGACAAATAAATAAATTATATTAAATTAGCTTAGAAACTTTATATATTTTAATTGCAAATATTTTACCAATTGCTTCTTTAAAAACATTAGGGAACTTGCTATACTCTACCAATCAAGCCCAGTGACACTCCATTTATTTTCCATCACTCGAACACTGAAAAGTAAAAAGGTATATGAAATCAGATCCATTAAATTCTAAGATTTGATTTACATTTCTAATTAAAGTTTTTTTTGATCATACGTATAGATAATTATATAAAAATTCCAAAATTCTAAAATTTCAAATACATACAAAAACAATCATATGTAAATTTTAAATTTGTGAATATTAAAATTTTATATTTTAATTACATATATTCACCCTGCGCAAGGCGCAGGTCTTATCCTAGTATATAGATATAGATAAAGTTAATGAATAGTGGCACAAATAACAATATTACAAATAATATAAAATAAAGAGCTTCAAAACATCTGTCAAGAATCTTTGTGCTTCAATCTATGAAAGTTAAAACAGTAATAATAGCTTCAGTAGCCAACAGCTCTTTGTATGTACACTGCTGGCTTCAGAAGGATTCTCTTTTAAAGAAACAAAGAAAGAAAACAAAAATCAAAAGAGGTTAATCAAGAAAGATATGTTTGGCTACTGTGACCAGAAGAACAAGATGCCTATCATCAGCTCTCCCAATACCAATCCACTGGTCTCTCTCTCTCTCTCTATTTTCCCTTTTGCAATTGCATTTTATCTCTCTAAATAATATGACTCATTTATATTTTGTTTCTTAGCTTTTGGATCCGAATATTATCCCTTTGTCCTCTCTCTATTCTCTTTGCCTTTAGTTAAAACCACACGATCTAAACTTCTTCTTCTCTCCCTCTCTTCTCAGGCTAGTATGCAGAGCAAGAACATGATTGTCGCTCCCTCTCATCAGCAGCAGCAACAACAACAGCCACCGCAACTTAAGTGCCCTCGTTGCGATTCATCAAACACAAAGTTTTGTTACTACAACAACTACAGCCTCTCTCAGCCTCGGTACTTTTGCAAGGCTTGCAAGAGGTATTGGACACGAGGTGGGACCCTCCGGAACGTTCCTGTAGGCGGTAGCTACCGGAAGAACAAACGTGTGAAGCGACCAGCAACCACAACCGCTGTCTCCACGGCCTCCATGATGACTTCTTCATCCCCTAATAACCCTCATGACCATCAGATATCCCAATTCTCATCCATGAATCATCATCCTTTGTTTTATGGTTCATCAGATCAAGTGAGTGGTTGTAATAACCTTCCAATGATTCCTAGCCGTTTCAGCAGTGATTCTTCAAAGACTTCTTCATCAAATGGTTTAGAGAGTGAGTTTCTCTCATCATATGGTCTTAACGCTGTTGGATTAGGGCTTCCACACAATATGAGTCATGACCAAACCATTAATGGTAGCTTCATCAACAACTCTACAACAAACAAACCATTTCTTCTCTCGGGTCTATTCGGGTCCTCGGTCTCTTCATCTTCCTCTACTCTTCTCCAGCATCCACACAAGCCTATTACCAATGTTAGTGAGATGATGGGACAGTCCCATCTCCAAACCCTAGCATCATTTCAACATGTTGGAGGTAACACTGAAGATATGAACAAAGAAGGGAAGCTTGATCAGATCTCTGGGAACATTAATGGGTTCATGTCATCATCATCATCTTTAGATCCTTCAAGCTACAACAACATGTGGAACAATGCAAGTGTTGGCAATGGAGCGTGTCTTGATCCGACAAATAATGACGTTGGATCCCCACTTACCTCCTTGATGTAAACCAGAAATTTATTGGTTGTAGGATCTATAATTAGTTAGGGTTTCACATCTTCATCATTTTTTTTTTCTTTCTGTTTTGAGATGAGAGAAGAAGTTTGGATCAGAGAGATAATTTCAGTGGCAATGTTGATCTTAGCCTCTATAAAGCTCCCTCGGATCCTATTCATCTCACCATCTCCATCATCTTCCTTCGCGTTTCTCAAGAAAACATAAGGGGCTCAAAATTGGTTCAAGTTTTACTATGTTCGAAGGTAAATTTCTAGTGTATGTACACGTACTATGGTCTTGAATTCATCATCTTTTTCCATATGTAATTCTAAGTTCCACCACATGGACTGATGTTTTTTTTCATTGGGGTTGGGAGGGTATATTTGAGTTTTTAAGTTTTATATCTTTTTAGTGTCCCATTTCTTCTTTGGTGAGGCTTTCGTCATTGGGTATACAAACAGAAGGATGGGTGTGGTTTTGTGTTGTTATTGAAAGACTATGTTATAACTTTGGTTATTCATGTATGAGTTATGTTATTAAGGTTCTTTTGGATACTACATGTATTATGTATATTATATTATTGCATATACATATATATAATCACGATAGATATGGGACGATACGAAGGTACTTGTGGATAGTTTGAATTGTCCAAAAGAAAAGTGGCATTTAGCTAATGTCAAATGAGAGATTCATGAATACGAGAAAATTCGCAGAAACGACATTAATGGATACAACTACTCGCCCAAAAAAAAGTATACAACTAGACTAGTCGAGACATGTATACAACATATATATGTACTGTACATCTATATATTTAAGCCGACAAAGTAACAAACATGGTTACAATACAGATGTGATCTCCATTCCCCAACTCAATAGTTATGTCATAGTGATGATTTTGTTCTTTAGCATTTTGGCTACAAGCCTACAAGTCATGGTTCCATGTATGTACAACCAAGCTATATATATATGAACACAAGTTTTGGTCCAGACTTGGAGTTTAGCGAGGTGTCTTTGTAAAGTGGGCACGAGTTCGTTACCAGTTTCTTCGTATCATTTTCTCGGCAATGTTATATTCTTTTCGTGCACGAGTGGGAGATTATATTTATTCGTCAAACATTTAAGTCCATCAGTAATGTTTGGGACACATGTAATCGTTGTTGTGTGGATAATATACTATCGAATTTCAATTATCGCAAAGACTGCACAGACTGTCATATGTTCCCTCCTTGGTCTTCCTAGCATCTACAGATAGAGCGTAACACGGCAGTACCACGTATGCATTGAAGCTCATGGAAAGCATCAGACAAAACTTCATGCCATTTTGACCTGATTATTTATAGATTTGATGCTTTTAGCGATCTGCATATACGTTTTTCTGAGTGGTTTAATATATTTTCTAACATCTTCAAAAAATCAAAAAGCAAATGATTCTTGTTTTAGTGCTTATAGTAATTAAGTTATGCTTGATGAAATGTAAGACAAATGAGGAACGTTAAACCACAATATATAGGTCGCTGAGGTCGATAATAATTTAAGAACAGAATCTACTAACCATGAGGTAAAAAACTATGAGCTTTACTTGTTACAATCCTAAAACATGAAGTTATGAAGCAAAAAAACATGAATAAAGGTGCAAACGCGGAGCCTTTGATTTTAGTCATGTGACCAAAATAGATAACTGGTGAAATCTTGTCTTTGATAAGTTCTTAATACCATAAAGATAAGTATATGATACACAGCCCAAATTAGTTCACACTAACGGGCTGAATAAGTTAGAGCCCAAATATTTCTCAATATATAACGAGCCTTTGGACTGTTTATGCGTAGACTTGTATTTTACTTAGTCAACCAAATGATTGAAGATTTTTTCGCCTTGATATTATATGTCGACGTGTAGATAATTCTAGTTTACCAAAGATTTGAGTTCGGACCAAAAGGTCATATTATGTCCCAGTCATCTGGATGCTGAGTTCAACATTTTACTCGAAGAAATAAATAATTGTTCTTTGAACAGTTATTAGATATCGTTGGTAGGACTCAGTTTGTTTTCGTTGCAAAACCTGTATCATTTATTGCGAGACTAGAACCATAGGGAACAATGACTCATCACAAGTGTGGAAAGGAAATGCTCTAGCAACAACATAAACAAGACAAGGTACAACACAAGTTCACCAATTTCTACTCAATAATCATATATTTTCAAAAATACCCAAGCTTTTAAACCGTAATTGGGAAGACAAAAGGAATAATGGAAAAAGAGTAAAAAATAAATATTTATTATCCCTATGATTTTAAATAAGTGTCACTTTGACATTTTTCATAAAAATTAAAAAATTAGCAGAAATATATGTAAGATATTATTAGTTATATCTCTCTGATCAATAATAGTTGAGATAAATAAAATTATTTATAAAATTAATGCAATTTTCAAATAATTTTTAGTTTAAAGTAGATATAATTTGCATTAGAATTGTAAAATGCTACTTTTTATAATAAAAATGTTAAAATGACACTTATTATAAAACAGAAGAAGTATTAAGTAATTTTTTTTCTTTTAATCTAAAATTTTTTCACTATGTAAAAGAGGCCAACAAGTTAAAAAAAACAAGGTCACTTTGTGATTCCAATCAAATGTTTTACACCTTTTCATAATTTTTTTCAGTAATTCAGTCAAATCACAAATTGATAAAACAATAATTTTTCCGAAATTTCATAAAAGTTTTTACAGCGAACAGTAACAAAGAACACTGACTGAAATAACTAGAATGAATTTCCATGAAAGTTTACATCCAACGACGGCGCGTGTGTTTCAATCCCTAGTGTAAGAGCGTGAGAAAACTTAAAAAAAGAAAGAGACTAAAAGAGCCAATACATTTTCTTTCTTCTTACCAAACCACAAACCAAAGCTTGTTTAAGCAAACAGTACACACACAATCTCTCTCTCTTTCTCTTTCTCTCTCCTATGGAGAACTCGCCGAGACACAGAGATGCTCCATCTCCTCGATGCCACAACAACAGCAACACTGAAACCAACAAGCCACAACCCACAACTCCGACCCGAAACCTAACTCCAAGATCCGAACCCGGAAACTCCTACCCGACAACTTTCGTCCAAGCCGATACTTCCTCCTTCAAACAAGTCGTCCAGATGCTAACCGGATCCTCAGACAGACCCAAACACCACAACAACGGATCCTCTCCTAAACCCGACCCGACTTCCCAATTCTCAATCCCACCAATCAAAGCCGTCTCCAACAAGAAACACTCCTCTTCCTCTTCTTCTTCAGGGTTCCGTCTCTACGAGCGTCGTAACTCGATGAACAACCTCAAAATCAACCCGGTTAACCCGGCTTTCTCGACCCGGAAACCCGAGATCCTCTCTCCAAGCATCCTCGACTTCCCGTCTCTCGTACTCAGCCCCGTCACTCCTCTTATACCCGACCCGTTTAACCGAACCGGGTCTTCTAACCAGAGCCCTGACGAGGCCGAAGAGAAGGCTATGAAAGAGAAAGGGTTTTATTTGCATCCGTCTCCGGCGACGACTCCAATGGATCAAGAGCCTCGTCTTCTTCCTCTCTTTCCAGTGACTTCTCCTCGAGGTTCAGGTTCTTCTACAGCCTAATTTTTTGTGTGTGATCTTTAACTATGTATTATTTAATGGGAATTAAAATGAATCCTGATGAGAATTATTATTTTACGAGGGAAATTTGTAATTCTGAGATGAGATGTTTTGCGATTTGAAAATTATCGCCTTCGATTGTTGTATCTCTAATATATTATCTCTATATGGTTTTTGTTGATTTTGAATATGCTCATGTTTGGCTTGTTTTTACTTCGTTTTTGATGAGTTTATTCCTCCCAAATGTACAATTAATGGGAAACAAGTCATGATTAAGAAAATTTAATGAGATAATAGATGGATACTAGTTGAAAAATGTGCTCTGCGGTTTGTTTGTATTTCTTTAAAAAAAATTACTGTCGATGGTGAAATTTTTACTGCGACAAATGTACTATTCAAAGTACACAACCAGTTACATCATTCAAAACTTTTTTTCAGGAGATCAGGTTATGAAGAAATTGGTCTTATAGCGAAACCAAGTTGTGATTAAGAGAGATAATGAATTAATAAAATATGGAATTAAACTAGTTGTAGATTTTTTTTTTTTTTTTTTTATATGTTTCATTTGTTTACTATCAATGGTGAAAATTAACTGAAATAATACAAATTTAACACAATCAGCTGCAGCCTCCAATTCTTTTTCCAGTAAACTAGTGATGAAGAGATTGGTCTAACGAATTGGTCCAGTTTTCTTTTAGATTTAATTGTTCTTGATGTAAAGGTATCTCCTACCCAAACCTATTTTCTTCCCTATAATTTTCATAAAAATAGAGTAGTTCTAAAATGATTTTTGTTTTAGTGGTTCACTCTAAAATAAAGTTACTCTATTATAGAGTAGAAAATAAAGAAATATCATTTTTCACTCTATTTTAGAGTAAATATATGATATTCCTCTATTTTCTACTCTATAATAGAGTAACTTTATTTTAGAATGAACTATTGGAGCAAAAATCACCCTAAAATAGAGTTACTCTATTTTTATGGAAATTATAGAGGAGAAAGTAAGTTTAGATCGGAGATGGTATAAAAGTAACAACTGAAAATAAAATAGATAATTTTTCGTAAAAGAGATATTTTATTTTCTTCTTTTCGGTTAGAAAATGAGACTTTTCTAGGAAGAAACGAGTAACCCGGATAAGAAGGAAGAGAGTGGGCAAGGAATCTTGATCATTATTTATTTTAATTTCCTTTGTTTCTATTTTCTTTTATTTCAATTTCATGATTTGATAGACTTTTGAGATGTACACATTTACCTATATTTTTGCCTAATGATGATATATATAGTTTTTTTAACCATCTTGGACGGTAATTTTTGGGTTACAGGTTTACTCCGTAGTCCGTATGGTTGCAGTTTGATACATTAGATTACAATATAATTTGGTCACTGTTTGGATATGGTTTATTGGGTCAAAATCTTGTGTAAATTTAATGTTCAATTATAGTTGAGAATGAACAAAGGTATATGGATTGGGAGGTAATGGGCATATGCAAAAGAGCATGGCCCCATTTGGTCAAATTTATAGGTTTTGAAGAAAAAAAGTGGAGAAAATAATTAGACATGTTGAAACTTTCAAATTTCAGGTATTTTAATTGGTTGCTTAAATAAGACGTGGTCTACAAAAGCAATTAACAATTAATACAGTATGAAATGGTCCGACTTACATTAAACTCGACTCAATCTCACATTTGGTGTCTACCTCTTTCTTTCTCTCTTTAAAAGGTTGAAAATTCTCATGTGAAGAGAGTTGATGTTAGGGGCCCACTTCCACTATTAGTGGTGCCACTGAGAGTGATTGCGGTTGACCATTTACATTTTTTTGTTTCTTTATAAAATAAGTTTTTAAACTTGTTTTTGGATTTCCTAGTATGAAAGTTAGGACCGTAAATCCAGAATCTGTTACATATCAGAAAAGTGGAAAACACCTTGTAAAATTCTGATGTAAATAATAGCACTTGCACTACCTTTTTAACTCTTTAGTGAAACCAATCTCTTTGATATTACCCACTACAGTCTACGATCCAATCCGTTTTTATGATGACGTTCTTAAATTCCTTAAATATGTACATTATGGATCAAGATTTTATTACAAGTACTTTCTATATTTAGAATACGAATATATTCTAAATATTTACTAGTAACAAAAGATTGTTAAGTTAAAAGCAATGCAAGAAAAGTCAGAAAGTAATGGAGATGTGGTGTGAACATCAATAATTTAGGTCTCGGCATTTTATTCGTTAAATTTGATTCTATCCGAAAATTCTGGATATCCGTAAACTTTTGAATCAAAATAATTACTAAAAATTAGTATCCATTAAAATTGAAGCAAATCACAATATTAAAATTTTGGAAAGCGGATATTCGATCCGATCCAAAAATATATAAATATATGTATATATTGGTTATATTAAAAAATTTAAATGTATAAAATTATATAATTATTATTGTAGTTCATGATTTTGAACAATTCCATTCACATTATTACTTATATAAAAATATTACATAAAAAGAGAGAAAAATTATGACAATTATATTTTTTTCTTAAATTTTGTGTTATTATAATTGTAACTTAAACTTTAAAAAATAAAAATATGTAAATTCACTAGTTCTTTTAATTTTTATTTTATATATATCATGCAAAAAAATATTTTTACAAAGAAAATCTGTATCAAAATTTTAAAATTATTTGTATTAATCAAAATGGATGAGATATCCGTAAATATCCGTAAATATCCGCAAATATCTATTTATTTTCCGGATATTCATTTTTTCAGATATCCGTATTTTTCGAAGTAAATCAAATACAAAAATTAGATATCCGTAACATTCGAAGCAAATAACAAATACCTTGAAAAATCCGGATATCCGATCCATGTCCACCCCTACCAGTAATGTTTCAAAGTTAGGTTCTCATCTCACTTCAAAGTCTTCTTTGGTTCCTTTATATTTAATTAAATGACTTTGGAAAAGGACCATACAGTGCTGAATGTAGTAGTGCAGATGTGCAGGTGGGTCTTGACGTCTTGTGACCATGATACTATACATTTCCTCAGACAACCAAACAAATTATAGTTTAAGACGTTTGAGTATTGTACATACGACAACCAAAGGAGTCCTCAGGTCACATGATGGAGATGGACCCAACATTAGACGTTTTCGAGAGGCTCTATAAGTATGTAATTATATTATACACCTACACAATCTGCTAACAAAATCAAATTATATTTGAAGTAACCCAACTCCTGTGTATAACGCCGGCTAGTTCCACAGCTATTAAAAATGCTTTCATTTTATAACTGTTGTGTGTGAATCAGTGAATGTAAATTGTTTTCAACTCAAATTTACTTGTTAATAACAAGAACTGATGTAATTTATCCTCACTTTCAATAATTATAATATCATAAACACTATGTTATTTAATTTGAGATATTACAAAACACTTCTCCTAACCATGAAGGTGCATTTTAGTTTGGGTTTTGATGGGTTTTTTTCTATCAAAAAAAACTTTGAACTGAGATCCCAACCCAACTGAACCACCAAATATTTTTTTCTAACCAATGCATTTTTCACTCTTATCACGTCATTGCGACAAAACCTCCTGTTTTGATATGTGATCATAGAAACAATTGACTTACAAGAATGTATGATATGTCATTCATGATTTCAAAGTTTCATGTGGATATATCCAAAAAAATTGGACTTGGTTTAGAAATTTAAGCATGAAGCCATCATATGGTTTCTCATAAATCCAAGGTTTTCTGCAACATTTTGTTGCTAAACATAAGAGATGTTATTTCGTTTGCTAGTCCGATCGAGTTGGATGCATAAACTAACAAATCTGAACTAAATAACCAAACATTTGCTGTGTTTGTTTCGAGATAAAATACAAAAGGAGAGATAAATGAAGAAAAGAGGTTCCAACTTGGGCCCTCATTTTTAAAACATATGCTTAATTGTACTAAGAACATCATGATGTATATAATAGACAAACGGAACTTAAATATATGAACGAAACAAAACATAAGGACAACAACAACAAAGGAAAATAGGCGATATATCAAAGAATCAAAAGCTTATATATGCATCATGATGAAATAAAGAAACAAAAAAAAAAGTAAAAAGTAAACATAAAAAGAATCATACGTATAACATATAGTACGTTAAGAAATAAAAATCATTAACGATCAAGAATGAGGAATGGATGAAGATCGAACCATGTTGAATCAAATCCTCCTCTCTATCATTTTGTTTCTCATTTAGCGTACCTATAACAACGCGTGATCGCACTGCATCCACGCCTGTAAGGATTGTTCCTTTTCCTCTTCTTGCAATCATAGTACGATCGGCCACGTCTATTGCAAGGAACATTGTTCTTTTTGAGTGCATCGTATCCAATGTAACGACGTCCTCTAGCAAGTTGACGACGGCTTGTCTCTGAATCCATTAGAGATTCGAGCTCATCGTCGTCTCCGATGCAACCTTCCCCGTTGATGCAAGATTTAGTCAATGGATAGGTTGCATTGACGGATTTAGCTACCATAGCTAAAACCAAGAGGCCAAAGATGAATAACAACTTGACACCACCCATTTTTATTTTGTGTAGATGAGTTATATTATTACTCTTGTGCTTACGTTTTTTTGGGTATCTTCTACGCCCTTCCTTGTGAAAGGAGAGGGAGAAATAGAAGTATGAGAGGTTGTGCAGAAGAACAAATGAAAGTTTGGTTTTGTTGAGGATAAAGAAGGGTTATTTTGTGGTCGTTAATTCTGTTACTTTGAGGGTTTTAACCTCTTTTTCAGGTCTTATTTTGTCCATCTTTTTAGCTTGGTGGTTAAATCTGTATTTGTTAAAGTTATATTTGGCTCTCCTCTTTGATCGGCTAACTAACTTTGTTATGTTATTATTAGCATGTAAACGTTTATCATCAGTATTGTAATTTTTTTTTTAAAAAAGCTTAAGATTGAGTGGGATAACGTGTGGATCCATTGAATCTTGGTTCCAAAAAATGTACGGATCATAGGATCTATGGATATCCGGTGAAAATCTCTCAACTCGAATCTTTAAATAAAATAACAATACATCCGTTTCATTATAGATGATGTTTGGGATAGGTAATTGTTGTTGTTTCATAATAGATAAAGTTTTCACGTCTAGGTAACTTTAATTTTTATCAAAATTTTGTGTAAACAATTGCATTTTTACTATTTTTGTTTATAATTAAATAAATTAATTTTCAATTATATTTTCAATAAATCTTTTTTAAGTAAATTTCTTAATGTGTGTAAAAAGCGAAAAATTTCATCTATTAAATAAGAAAATAGAAGTCAATACAAAATATCGACATCATTCATGAAAGATATTTCATCTCTTTAATTATGGTGGTTAACAAATTGTAAAGAGAAGTTGTGCTGGTATATTTCCATTCGATTGCGTGCATAGTTTGTCTTTGTTTTAAATTCCAAAGGGTCCTCCAATCTATAACAAAAGAGACGCGTCATTTTTGAGGTGATGTCTACTGTCTGGTGACAAATATTGGGATTTGTTCACATATCAATTTCTAACTAAACTTGTCTAATATAAAATTAAGATTTGGGTGAAGATTTTCGTGGGAAACAGTTTCTCTCATCTCTTATTCTCTAATAGTCTAGATTATCATACATGAGTGTAACAAATAAATAAATAAAAAACAATTGGTCGTGGAACTCCGAGCAGCAGGTACATGCAATTTCCACAATCCATGATCTACAGTAGTTCTAAATGGAACATAATATTCAAAGAATATGAGATTGGTCAACATTTTATATTCCATCTGTTTCAATTAATGTCATTGTAAAGTAAAAAACTAAAATATATCTTATGATTTCAAAATAATTCTTATTAGTTAATTTATTTTATTTCTAACTAAATTAAAACAATAAATACTACAAAATTTTAATAGTCATATAAGAGTAAAATCAAATATTATTTTTTTGTTTGACAATCTGACTGACATCTAGATTGTTGTTTTTTTAATTTAATTAAAATAGGGAAAATTTCACTTTTAACTTCCATTTGATACCATTATTCATGTTTAGATGTATAGTTTCAAAAATACCTAAGTATCAAATTTTATTAAGGAGACAAAAAATATTATATCCCTTAATTTAGAAATATAAATAATTATATAAATAAATAAAAAGTAAAAATATTTTTTTTTTTAATATTTTCGAATTATAACTTTTCAAATTCGAAAATTTTAATGTTTTTCAAAATTTCGAATCATTTTTTTCAAATTCGAAAATACTTTTTAAACTATTTTTATATTTTTATTTAATTTTTAAATATCTATTTATATTTTTATTAAAATTCTAAACCTTAAATCTAAACTGTAAATCTAGATTAGGTAACTTTAGAGTTATAAGTATTTATTTGCCTCTTAATAACCAAATGTAAATATGATTAAAGTAAATATGAAAAAAGGTATTAAGAAAATGCTAGTTTAAGTAATATTTCCTTAAAAATATGTGTAGTTATACTGAATATTCTATAAACATCATTTTTAACTTTAGTACTTTCGACGTTTACTGACAGTCTAACGACAATGTTATAGTAAAACAAAAATTATTTTCGTATAGTTTAAAAAGATATAATAATTGTAATAACGAAACAGAAATTAATAGCCTTCAAAAACATACTACAAATGTCTGGCCTGTTTGTTTTTTCCTTAATCCGTTTATTCTGTAGATAAGGTTTGATATTAACTAAAGTCATGACAGCAGAATTAAAATATAGGGAACGTTTTGCTTTCACGTCAAGGAATATATAAAAGTGGGTAACTTTCCTCCGGACTTTCTGTTAAATTAGTTAATTTATTAGCAAGTTTAATAAAAGTCACTGAAGAAAAATATTTACAATGGAGAAAAAAAAATCTTTGGAGGAGTTGATTCAAACTGTTGGGCACTTAACTATTACAAGAAGTTGACAAAAAGAAATTATTATTAGAAGTGGAATAATGGATTAGATATGTATCCACTCCTGCTTCTGCATCTCCATCATCATCATCCATCCATTCAGCATCATCATCATTATCATAATCAGCCACCTTTCTACATTGTCTGTTTCACTACTGAGCAATCTATCTCCTCTCTTTCTCTCTCTTCATGTGATACACTTTGCTTGGCTTCTTCTACCTTTACCTGTTCTTGTCTCAACGTCCGTACGTTAAAACTTCTTCTGGTAAATTCCTCTCCTTCTTCTTCTTTGTCTTTGGGTTTCCTTCTAAAGATTCTTTCTCACTTCCTAGTTTCTTCTCTGATGTGTGTATTCTTCTTTCTCTGTTAACTCCCTAACTACTTTAGAGATTTTATTTTGTGGATTTCATTAAACTCACCCAAAGCTTTGTAACTTTGGGCTATAACCAGTTCAGCTCTAATAGAGTTTTCTTGTAGACCAAATACATGAGTTTGTTGGATCACTACTTTGTAATTATTACTGTGTCTGGTTCTTAATCTTCATTTCTAGTGTTTTATGACAAGTCCTTGATCTTTGTTACTTTTCAATAGTAGTCTGATTCCAGAGAAGATGGAAGCTTGTACTAGAAAATCACCTAAGAGTAATGCTAATTCAGCTAATCAGAAACAGAATCCTAATGTTCTTGTAGAGGTAAGTAAAAGCCACCTTGTTACTTCAAGAATCTTACTGTTAAACAACACAACTAATGATGTTTTTTTTTCTTTCTCAGGTAAACAACATTGAGAACCAGCTATGGACGTTAATCAACTCAAAAGGTATATTGCATCCAGATGTTTCAAAACTATACACTAAAGCAGGTTTGACCTATGAGCAAATCTTTAAAAGCAATCTCCAACAAGAAGAGCTTCAAGAAGTTGAGTTCTGTCTCTGGAAACTTCACTATAAACACATAGATGAGTTCCGTAAAGGCGTCAAGACAGATGATCCTGCCAAGCAAGAAACTCATACGAAAGCATTCAAGATGTTTCTCTTAAGAGCCGCCGATTTTTATAAGAGTCTGATCTCCAAAGTTAGCGAGGAATCTGGATTCTTATGCCATCGTTTCTATATTTGTCTTGGTGATCTTGAAAGGTATAAAGAACAGTATCTGAAAACACATGAACATCCTAATTGGTCAACAGCAGCTAGTTACTATCTTGAAGCTGCAAACTCTTGGCCTGATAGTGGGAATCCTCATAACCAGGTAACTTAATTAGTCTCTTTTTCTTTTTAGTATTCAGCATTTTAAGTGTGTTTTTTTTTCTGCATTTGTGTAGCTAGCTGTGTTGGCTACTTATGTTGGTGATGAGTTCTTGGCTTTGTACCATTGTGTGAGAAGCTTAGCTGTGAAAGAACCTTTCCCTGGTGCTTCCAACAATCTTCTTTTGTTGTTTGAGAAGGTGATTGTTTCACTGATACTTTCTCTATTACCTGTAGTTATGATTGTGTTTGTCTTACATTGCTCAAAATACTTGTCTTGATTACTGCAGAACAGATCTTCTCAGTTGCAGTCTCTGTCTACTGATGCACAGTTTAACTTCTTAAACCCATCAGAGAGAAGTTATTTCTCAAAAGAGAAAGGAGACTTGATGTCTGGAACTGATTTATGGCCATTGATGGTTCGAACTATTAGTTTCTTTTTCCTCAATTCCAGGTCAGTTTGGATCTTGAGTAACACTTGAAGTTTTACAGTTTCTGTTCATTTAACTCAACTGTTCTTGTCTTAATCCTTTCTGGTTTGTTTCAGTTTGGATGACTTTGGTTTCTCATTTGCATCAACTATAAGAGAAATGGATGCAGCGTTTGCAGTTGATGATAAGAACCTAGAAGCCATGTTGGAGTCTTATCAAGTTATGAACTCCTCAAGAAAGGGACCTTATAGAATCCTCCAACTTGTTGCAGTTTTCATCTTCATCTTCCACAACTTAGCTAAAGAGGAAGTAAAGATAACAAACTTAACCTTAACAATGGTGTTCATTGTCATGGGGAGAGTTGTTGAGAGATGTTTGAAGACAAGTCCCTTGGATTCTTGTCCTCTCTTACCTGCTCTACTTGTATTTCTAGACTACTTACCGTTTCTGCTTGACAAGACCGAAGAAGAAGAATGTAGGTTTGATGAGGAGAGTGAGATTGCAATATCTTACTTCTTTGGAAAACTTGTTGAGTTCTTGAACCAGTTAAAGGTGAAAGACCAAAACTGTTCTGCTCTTTGGGAGGATCATGAACTGAGGTCACTGGCTCCTCTTGCTCCTATACATCTGCTTCTAAATTTCTCAAGTCATATGGAACTAAGAGAGAGTTTTGATAAAGGAAAGGAGATTCGTCTTCAACGGATTTTAAATTCAGCTATTAAGATCTCAAGTAGACAGAAGAAGGGCTCTCAAAAGTGGTTAGTCTTTGACAAGCAAGGGACTTGGTCCTACTCAACTTCAAGTGCATTGCTATGCAAAGAAGAGAGAAGTAACAGAACATGTGTTGCTGTAGGAACTCTTGAGAATGAGAGTGAAAGATCTGTGCCTGCAGAAGAGGAAGAAGTCATTCTTCTAAAGCCGCTTGTAAGGTCTCAATCTGCACCAATCTCTTCTTCTGGCATTGCAACAAAGCCACTCAGCTCAGATAACCCAACTTCATCTGATGAGAGCCTAAAACGTACCTCATCACTCATTGTGAACAGCCATAACCCACAGGGTACTAACTCTGAAAGCTTCAGCTTGATGCAAGGTCTTAAGAAGACAGAACCGGAACTAGAAGAAGGCACAGTCTCAGGAAGACCTCCATCACTAAGCGCGTGGGTAGTTGACAAGAAGGAAGATAATGGGAAATTTGGTTTGAGTAAAGCAAATGGGTTAAGCTCTATTGATGAAGCAAGTCCTGTTACATGCTTTGATAGTCTCTCAACTCCTACTCCATCTGCTCCATTACTTCCTGAAGACGCTTCTTGGTTTCATGATGGTGTTAGTACAAACCAAGCAGAGAGCTTCTATGATCAGACAAGACATATGGAACCACCTGGTTTCATGAAGTCATACACAAACACGCCACTTGTTGGGATGTCTTCTTCTGAATGGTTACGTAGGTACAGAGAGAGTATGAATCATGGACCAGCCTATTCCTATCAAGCTCAGGGGACAGACAACTTCTTGGCTCATGGTTCTTCCAAGTTCAGTCTGTTAGCAAGGTACGGGACACCAAATGATCAATCAGTGATCACTTCGGAGAACTCAATGTTTCATCCTCAGCTTTACAATGAATCTAGAGGAGAGAAGCTCTGCAACGGTCAGCAAAGCACAAGAAACGCTTATGGATTCAGTGATGATCCTGGACCGTTTCTTAGATACTTGAGAGAGAAAGAGTGGCTGAATGAGAATGGCGAGAGGTTAAGAGAAGGTTGTAAGTGAGTGACTTACAAGAAACTGTCTCAAGTTGGCAAGTTGTAACAAACCTATATAGTTATTGTCTTGTCTCCTTTTGTTGCAATCTTTGCAAGAGAATGAGAGCACATTAAAAAAAGGTTTGGTTGTACATAAACAAAGAAATAAATGAAACCAAAACCTTTAAATCCATCAACTTGTTATGATTCTTGAGAAATGAATCGAATTAGATCAGGCATTGTCCAGTAATAATCATATACTTACAACATAGGAGGAATGAACTTAGCTTCCAAGAAGCAGAACAAATAAAGTGAAACCAAAAAAGGAAGTAATGTTGAGCAAATCAAATTTTGATCAAGATTAACGTCTTGTGTCAGTTCTCTTGCTGTTTGTGCTTTTCTGCTTCCTAAAGCAAAAAAAAGAAAAATTAGAAAATAAAACAAGACGAAGCAACCAAGGAAAGAGTTTGAGAAAGTACCAATCCAATCCTTCTACATGCTTTGATCTCTTTACTACTAAATATTGTGTTACTTTGTTGTTTGAGTCTGAGTGACTAAAAACAACATGGAGCTTGATCATTTGGTTTTAATAAACCTGCACATTTTGTAAATGTTAAGCAACAATGTGAAGGTTTTAATAAGATTTTCAAAGATGCTCAAAAACTCCATCATATTCACAACATCCATCTAATTTCACCCCACAAGGCCACAAGTAAAACCTTTAGAATCTCATAAACCTTGGTGAACAAACAAGTCAGCGCAGTACAATGACATTAAATTTTCCAAAGGATATATACAAAACAGAGAACCCTTAAGTGAAAAAACAGAGATTTTACAAACAGAGCCGCAGAGGAATATGTTTTTAAACCCCTTTGAAGAGAAAGAAGTCAAAGGGTTGCTCAGCTACACTAAGAACACAACGGAGAAAGTATATGATACGATCTAACCAAGGGGAAAAAATACACTTGTTGAGATCATCGAAACCCAACAGTCATAAAACTGAGACATACCAGTTGAGGAGGATGAAAAGAGAAGATGCGATTGAGATGAGAAAGCCAACATGAACAAGCAACATGGATTGACCACTAGTGAAAGCTATGGAGAGCATGAAAGTGAGACAGAGACTCAGAAGAAGAAACGCCAGTTTCAGAGTGTTCCATGTCGGAGCCTGTAAAAGAAGATTTGATCCAACTATAAACAGCATTTACAAAGAGGGCAAGAAGAAGAAAAAAGAAAGGTATACGGACATTGACGCCTGGAGCTAGAGCTCCGAGTAGAACAGCTTCCGTTGATGAAAACTCTGATCTCTGCTCCATCTTTTCCTTTCTTTAACAGAACAGATTTCCGCACGAGGAGGACTCTGTTTTTGTTTCTTTTCAAGGAAAGCGATAATTAGAACCGACAATCTTAAACCGAAGCGGTTTATTCCGGTATATCGTTGTTTCTGTATTTGGACTTTTTGACATTAATCACTCTTTTTTGTTTGATTTTCATTTTTTTTTTTTATTTGGGATGGTTTTAAGGTTTTCTAATACAATATCTATGTATGTATGATTAAGAGTTTCGATTCGAAACAAACTAAAAATCACTTTTTAAAAAAAACATATCACCATCAAAATTGTCTGGTGATAAAGTTCTTTCACTAAAGAAAATTATCACTATCAAAATATCACTTTCATTTGCACCGGTTCATGGAATCCAACAACGATGGCCACGCCAGAGCTAAGATCCATGCATGGTAGGCACTGTTTTAGCTGTGACCCTTCTCTTTGTGTAGCCGTTGGCTCAATCTCTGAACATATAGGGAGGCCTATGATAAACGATCATCCCAAAGGTCTATTGATTGACTTTAATCAACCGGTGCATTAGTCGTATAGCTGACTTTTGATTTTTCCTTCTATAAAACCCAATAGGCTTGTGATCGATTCATTATTTATAAAGAATCATATCATGTGTGTTAAAACTTAAAATTGAGAGCAACACTGGGTTTATACTGAAAACGGAATTAACTTCCCCCCTCTCCCAAAAAAAAAAAAAAACTAATTCAAAGATTTTCGTATAATTAAGTGCGACAGATGAGACTAATAATGTCAGGATTCATGGATTGCTGATATGTAGTGATTAAATATTTTTTCATTTATATCTAACTCTTAGTTGTCACAAATTCTGTAATGATTCACTTGCATGAATGTTTGGACAATAATAATAGCCTATTAGTTTAATTTTATATCCTTTAGTGAGATGTATGTTTCTACACCCAGCAGTAACACATCGCCATATGTCCTTTATAATTGTTCAAAATAAATTATACAGTAACTTTTTTTTTGTTAAACTGTGAATATTCATAAAATAATAGGTTTAGGATTACAAAAGCCTAAATTAAGTGATACCTGGAAAAAGAAATAAATTATAACTAATAGTACAGAAAGAGAGAGATTAATACTTCTTTTTATATGATCATTATTTTATAGAATTGTAAACCTCGTAATGGACACATATTACGATTTTCCTTTTTTCCTTGACTTATTACCCAATTCTCACATACATAGAATCATTTTTTTCTTCTTACAGATAATCTTTATTTTTTCTGTAAGTATTAACTTAATGCATTAAACTAAAAAAACATACTTACACATGGACAAAGTTTTTATGAAATTGCCTTTTTTGGTTTCACGCGGAATTCTATATAATGATCTTTTTGGGAAGAGTATTTATATATAAGTAGTAGTAGTAATTGGATTCGTCGTCAAAATCGTGACAGTATTTTTGTTTGTTTGTTTGAAGAGTGACTTTTGCCTTCTGATTTCAAAAACTTCCCAGGAATCAAAACCCTATCTCCCCCCCCACCAATCACAAACCCTACCTTCTCGATTCTGCTCATTAAAGATTCCTCCGATTCGATTCATCGAAGATTCTCCTGATTCGTCTCTTTCCGAGCTTAAATTTCGTAGATCAGAGATTGCAAAATCTAAACATCGATTTGGTGTGAACTTTGAACATTCAAAGCTTAAAACTCATTGAATCTGTAAAATTGAAGATTTTGATGGAGTGATTGAAGGAGGGAGGAGAAGACGATGACTGGATTGGGCGTTCGATCCAGTAGCAATGGTTCCTTGGAGAAAACGGGACTCAACGGCGTCGTTTTATCTATCCATACAACTAACACGACGCGTACAAAGGGATCTAAGATGCAGAAGGAGAGGGAAGGTCTCACGATACCTTGGATCTTCAAATTCGCTGGACGTAAGAAGGTCGGCATGTTGCTCCTCTTCTTAATCTCCGCCGTCGTATTCCTCCGCGTCCTCTTCGTCGGTAAAGGTAACAACAACACTGTTTTGATTCACACATTGGCTTAGAATTTAGGAGTAGTGATCGTAATGCTAATAATATGATTGAGAAGTGTGTTTACTATAGGAACTATAGAGAACATTACTGGTGGTTTTAATGTTCAAGGCGGTGGTTAGGCGCTTTATACGAGATTTATTGATTATGCGTGAGAATTTGGTCTAGAAAAATAGTTTTGTTTAGGTCTGATTTGTGGACTAGGCGGGACACTTTCATAGGTATATATAATGTAATTGAGATAACTTGTGAGCCTTCTTTTTGTATTTGTAATCAGGTGAAGCTGGTCAGGAAGTTCAGGTTCCTCCGAGTCTTCATTTCAATGGCACTTCTGTTGTAAATCATTTACGAACTAATGAAGAGGAAAGCGTCAACATTCGTAATATATCTTTTCTGGGATTGAATGCTGTATCGTCTCCTCCTATACATTTTCTTGGATATACGCTTCCTCAAGGACATCCTTGTAGCAGTTTCACCTTACCTCCTCCACCTGCCGACAGAAAAAGAACAGGACCACGCCGTAAGTCTTGATTTCTCGTCTTTTACCTGTATTTTTACTTTCTATGATCATTACAAGACTCATGTTGTGATGATTCTGAAAAGCTCTGAGATTTACTGTCTTGGAGACGGTTTTTTAAGAAGTGTTTTGGTTTGTTTTTGCCAGCATGCCCGGTATGTTACCTTCCAGTAGAAGAAGCAATAGCGTTGATGCCAAATGCTCCGTCGTTTTCCCCTGTTCTGAAGAACTTGACGTATATATATGAAGAACCACTAAGCAGAGACACGGAGTTTGGAGGGTCTGATTTTGGTGGTTATCCTACTTTGAAACATAGGAATGATTCTTTTGACATTAACGAAACTATGAGTGTACATTGTGGGTAAGTTATCTTTCTGGCCTTGTTTATTCCCCTTGTCTCTCTCTCTCTCTCTCTCTCTCTCTCTCTCTCTCTTTGCCTAATCTTAGTAATTTCTTACGTTTTAATCAGGTTTGTCAAAGGACCTCAACCTGGTCGAAATACAGGTTTTGACATTGATGAGGCTGATCTTCTTGAAATGAAGCAGTGCCGTGGGATAGTTGTTGCTTCAGCTGTATTTGGTAGTGCTTCTCGTGATACTTATCTAATTTGTAATCAACCGCCCTAGACGTGTTACCAGTTTTTTTGTATGTTTCTGATGAAGGATTTCTCTCTCTCTCTTTGCAGATGCTTTTGATGATGTAAAAGCCCCACAAAATATCAGCAAATACTCGGAGGAAACAGTTTGCTTCTACATGTTTGTTGACGAAGAAACTGAGTCAATTTTGAAGAAAGAGCGAGGCCTTAACGGCAACAAGAAAGTAGGGATATGGAGAGTTGTTGTTGTTCATAATCTCCCTTATTCAGATGGAAGACGCAATGGAAAGGTAAACTCCACCTCTTTGATCTTTCTACTGACGAAGCTATGCCTTCAGTTACTTGAAACTAGAACATGAACTCAGTGACATGGTAGACAGTATTGTATCCACAGTGCTGTAACAACAGCCTTTTTGCTTTAGATCAGGCTTGAAGTTGTTTACTATAAAGGGAAAGCAAAAAATTATCCTTAGAAACCCAAGAAAATCAGATTTGAGTGTCCAATATGGACAGAGTAAAGAGAGATTATAAAAGTCACTTGTATGCTGATACCTCGTTTTCTTTGTAGGTTCCGAAGCTTCTTGTTCATAGGATGTTTCCAAATGCTCGCTATTCTTTATGGATTGATGGAAAACTTGAGCTTGTCGTCGATCCACACCAGATTCTGGAAAGGTAAAGTCATAAATTATCCCTTTAAGATCAATACAAGGATATATCTCTAGTGATATGAATCACATGATGTATGTAGTGTTCCCAATATTGTTTTGCAACCATCATCAATCTGCCTGACCTCTGTTTTCATCAGGTTCTTGTGGAGGCAAAATGCTACTTTTGCAATCTCTAAACATTACAAAAGATTTGATGTATTAGTTGAAGCCGAAGCAAATAAAGCTGCTGGTAAATATGACAACGCCTCTATTGACTTTCAAGTGGAGTTTTACAAGAATGAAGGGTTAACCCCATATTCTGTTGCAAAGCTCCCAATCACAAGCGGTATGTGTCTGTTTGGCTTACTTTTTTTTTTCTTTCTAAAAATCCACTTTCCGCATCAAAAGGTTAACTTGTTGGCAAAATGTTGCAGACGTACCAGAGGGGTGTGTCATTTTAAGAGAGCATGTTCCCATAAGCAACCTCTTCACTTGTCTTTGGTTCAACGAAGTAGACCGATTCACTTCTAGAGATCAAATCAGTTTCTCAACAGTACGAGACAAGATTGCAGCTAAAACAAACTGGACAGTAAGCATGTTCCTTGACTGCGAAAGACGCAACTTTGTAGTTCAGGTAATTTCTTATTTTTAAGTTTTAACTTCGCCTAATAAGAAAAAATGTAGTGAGTAGATAGATCCTGATTCTAATCGAAAACAATCAAATTGCAGAGATATCATCGAGCAGAGCAAGAGAGATTTGCAAGGCAAAACCCACCAGTGCCTACTTTTTCTCCTCCTCCACCTTCACTACCTATTACTACACCAGTTTTGATCAGCAGCGATTTGCCTAGGAAAGTCTCGAGTGGAAGAGCGGTTAGCAGAACGCCACCTAGAAGGCGTGGAAGACGGTCTGGTTCAAGAGGACACAGGAAAGCTAATCTGCCTGTACGATTACCAGATTCAGCTTAAGACTGAAAGAAACAAAGCATCTTGCTGAGAGTTAGGGTTTCTTCTTCTTCTTCGTCATGGTCACTGTCATCACCAAACACACATTCAAATTTTACGACACAGTTATGTTCCTTTTTTTGTTTTGTTTCTTTATTGATTTTTTAAGGATTCGAAATCATTTTTTCAATGTATATATATATTATACACAGATAACATTTTTGTACTTGGATATTAAATTATAGTTTCGAATTTTTTTGAAGAAAGTTAAAACTCTGTCTAAGAGTAGTTTTGAGTGTTGTAATTTTTTTGTGAGAGTACATATTGATTCAGGCTTGTCTACTGAAAAATACCGTTGTTGTCTTTTCGTTTTACTGTCATGAAATGTAAAGAGTACCATATCTAAATGAGATATTTATTGGCATGTGCGTATCCGTCGATGATCTGTTGTACTCAATGATCTTGAAATTATGGTCTTCTTTTGCATGCATATGTCTACCACTATGTTAATTCATTAGAATTAAATGATTTTTTCTCTGTCCCATGACTTTAGGTTCGATCATAAAGAGAATGGGACTGGAATGAAGTTCTCTGTACAGGGCCATGATTATAGCCTATTATTAAAAGAAACCAACTTGTTGGTGACCATGGTGTTTGGGTGGGCAAACAATACGTACGCATGAGATACATGTGACTCACGCTACACAGAGTCAAATCAGTAGCGTTATATGTTTCAGGTCTGCAATAAAGTGAGCTTAGGATTCACATCAATCTGAAGTCGGAGAGTGTTATATCAGTACTCATCGTTTATTTACAAGTCACTTTTTATTTGGCTTATTGTGCTCTAACACCACCGATTTTATTAGAGTTGATTGGCTGATAGTCTGTTCAATCCTCGTTTGTCTGTGGGTTTAAACAGTAAAGTCAAAAGTCAAAGATGGTCTGGAACCATGTACTAGTCGTCTAACACTAAATTGGAAAAAGGGGAATAACAACGTTTAATCTGGTCTCAAGAACTCTCAAGTACTTCCATTTCAGACCAACACTTTCTTACAACTAACAACCAACTAAAACTTATTCCTTCTGATAAATACTTTACCTGCTGAATGATGACGAGAGACAAAATGTTAGTCTTGCTTTTGTTTTGGTTTGATTTAACAAAATTTCGATTTAGCTTATTTAGATTTAGTTAATAAATAATAAATATCTAACATAATAGGTCCAACAATTTGAACTGATTAATGTATATAAATATCTTTTACACACATAACAATTCACTAGGTTTATTTTATATCAATTTTTGTTTATGTAATTAAGTTTGACGAAAATATAGATAGTTATTAAAGTAAATCTTTTGAAAGTTAATGTGGGTTAATTTTTATATATATTTGTCATTATGGCTTCATGTTTTGGAGTGCTTGCTTTTCTTTTTTCATATACTTTTTTAAAAAAATCTATGAAAACTATCCAAATTTTGTCATGAAGTATTTTATGTATGTATATGTTTATTAGGAGTCAAAATACGAATATATAAAAAAGTATCATTAAGAAGTAAAATACATATACTATTATAGTAAAATATTTTCCTTATCATTTGAAAAATAGATTACTAAGTGAAAACTGAAGTTAAAATAGGAATATTGATTATGTCAATAGTTATAACAATTTTTTTTTGTCAACATAGTTATAACAATTTTATAATTGACTTTGTGACCAATATAAATACGATATATATAAATTGGATTCTTAAAAACATATTATATAGACTGACAAGAAAATAAGACTTTTCGTATCTCAAGAAAGCATGCGTTAGCCAATTTGTGATCAAGTTCATTAATAGTTTAATACAATGTCGGATTAAGACACAAGTCCAGTTGAACAAAACTTCTTTCTTTTTATCCAAACTTTTTGAGTCACTAGGACAGTGACTTATCGTTTATTTATAGTGCATGTTGTTAGTCTTCTATTTCTATGATCTATCTCAAATAATTGAGTGAACCACTTGTAAATTTTATTAGTAATTCGTTTACTTGGTTTGTAAAAAAACAACAACTTTGTTTACGATTCAAAGAAAAGACGACGGTTTGTGTGTTTGCTTGATATACCAACTGATTATAGGAACAAGTAGCAGATTTGGCCATAAACGTATTTAAAACGTTAAGAGAGAATTATTGAACAAAATAATATTCAGGGATGCTATTTAATCACGACTGATGAATAGAACATAATCCAAATAGAATATTTAAATGTTCAAAAAGTACAATATATATGTTGCTATTCGGTCGCTGGTCTTAGTAAATTGAATAATGCAAAAAGGTGTTATTGGATATGACATTTGTAAATCATGTTTCAAGGTTTTTAAGATTTAGTTGTTAGTCAATAATTTATTAATATTTCATAAAACATGGTGTTACTAAAAAAAACATATAAAACCTTATATATTACTCATTAGACAGTTTCATGAGTTAATATAGAGGCTAAAACTTAAAACACACCTGTTTCAACTCTCTGTTTTGTGTATAGCAAGAGTAATAACGTCTATTTATATCACAATAAAATTTAAGGGCCATGTGATGGCCCCATATATAAGATGGTTGAAAATTAAAATTGAATACAACGTTTCTTTAGTCACAAACGCACTGCTATGTGATGTCCCCATATCCTATCACACGATTCAAAACCACAAACAAACAAAAACAAATATAATGACTCTTTGACCATTTTGAGCTGATCAGAAAAATCACAAAAACGTCAATAAAGAGGACAACACAAACAGAAAAACATCAAAGGGAAAGACAAAGAAGATGAAGAACGGTCTGATAATCATAAACTGCATAATCCTCACTATAGGAACATGTGGAGGTCCCTTGTTAACTCGGCTCTACTACACCAATGGTGGAAAACGAATCTGGTTCATGAGCTTCCTCTCAACCGCAGGCTTTCCAATCATCATCATCCCTCTCTTTTCCTCCTTCCTCAGCCGCCGCAACCGCAACCGCAACCGCAACCGCAACGGCAACAACTCCGAAAATGCAGAGAAAACAAACCTTTTCCTCATGGAAACTCCTCTTTTCATAGCATCAATCGTTATAGGACTGCTCACAGGACTTGACAACTACTTATACGCATACGGTTTAGCTTATCTGCCAGTTTCAACAGCATCTCTCATAATAGGAACTCAGTTAGCTTTCAATGCCCTCTTTGCTTTCTTCATGGTCAAGCAAAAGTTCACTCCCTTCTCTATAAACGCCGTCGTTTTGCTGACGGTTGGCACGGCAGTCTTGGCCTTGCACAGCAATGGAGACAAGCCGGCTAACGAGACCCACAGGGATTATGTTATTGGGTTCTTGATGACTGTTATTGCAGCTGTTTTGTACGCTTTTATATTGCCGCTAGTTGAGCTCACTTACAAGAAAGCTAGACAAGAAATCACTTTCCCACTTGTGCTCGAGATTCAGATGGTTATGTGCATAGCTGCTACTTGCTTCTGTATCGTTGGCATGATCATCGATGGTGATTTCAAGGTAAAAAATAATATATGTTTAACGGTCTCTTTTTTTTTTTGTTGAATGTGTCTTAATTTGCATGGATCTTGAAGGGCAGATTTTTTAATGCAAACCCTAATATATGATTTTTAGGATTATTGTTATATAATATTCAAAATTATGAAGTATTTTGCTTCTGTAATATATCAAGATTTTAGTACGGATTTCCGAATGTTAAGGAATATACTATTTGGTTTTGTTCTTTTGTATTTCTAAAGTAGAAAATTCATATAAATAATTATATTTATGTCTCATGGAAATTTATTTTATTTTATTGGTGTGTGTATTTAAGGGTATTTAAATTCATTTGTATTTATTTCATTTCATTGGTATGTGTACTTATGGCACATGATCTTTTTTTTTTTTTGAACAACTGATATATTAATTAAACAGAAAAGAGACAAGATAGTTGGGCCCAGGGCCAAAATTAGACAACAGAATTAAGATAAAGCATGGGCCAGCAAGGCCCGTTTAGCAAGCAGATCAGCATCTCTGTTCTGGGAACGAGAGATATGCCGAAAATTGATAGACACAAAGAGAGAAGAGAGACGATCAATGTCCTGGAGAACACCATAGATCTCTTTGATCTGACTTTTGAGATTGATTGCTCTGATGAGCGTTGAGCAGTCTGAAAGGAAAGTGACTGATAGGATTCCAGCCTGAATCATATTCTCGATTCCGTAGAGGAGGGCGAGCGATTCGGCCATGAGGGGAGAACTGACGGCGTCGATGGAGAGGGCTCCTGAAAGAGCCGGCGTTGATCGATTTGTGGCTGTGAGCCAAGCAACTCCTGCTCGATGAGAAGAAGCTTCCCAAGCGGCGTCGACAAAGCAACAGCTTTCAGAGCTTTGGAACGCTTCCTGGGTTGTTACGGAGAAAGGTTGTTTGTGTATACCAGTGGTTAGATCACTCTTGGCTTGCGCCTGATTCCATTCCAGAGCTGCAGCGAGACCTTGAGTAGCTGTCTCCAAAGGTCGGGTTACCTTATCCTCGAAGATAAGTTTGTTCCTGGCAGTCCAGAGGTGCCAGCAGATCCAAGGGAGGATAGGAGATCGAATTCCTGTGGGTGGGAGGCATATGGTTTGACGGAATTTGATCACTGCTGATTTGAAGTCCGAGTCATCAGCTATGTGAACTGATGATTTGAGAGGGATAAGAGACCACACAGTTTTGGCAAAGGGACAGAGGAAGAAGACGTGCATAGCCGTTTCAGGTTCCTTACAACGGGGGCACTGAGCTGCGGCCATCATTCCTCTGCGCTGTAGTTCCATTCCCACAGGTAAAGCACCTTGAGTTATAGACCAGAGGAAGATAATAAGCTTTGGTGATGTTTTTACAGACCAAATATCCTGAATCCAGCAAAAGTCCCTAATCTGATGGTTATCGATTGTAGCAGGTGTAGTGAGAGGATTGAAAGGTTGCGCTTTTGAGTTGTATCCCGACTTCGTGGAGTATACACCCGTGTGATGGGGGAGCCAGACGAAAATATCACTTGCTCCTTCTTTACTCGGCCTAAGGCATTGAATTTGCGCGCAAAAATCTGGTAAGAGTTGCTCTAGTCTGGTCTTGTTCCACTTGAGGTCGTCAGTTAGGAGGTCGGATACTCTGAGGTCTAAGACTGATTCATGAATTGGACCCAGAGGTTTGGTTTGAGTGTTGAGTGAAATCCATGAATCTTTCCAAACTTATGGCACATGATCTCAACTTGTATATTGATATCATTGAATAAAGTTTTTAATTTCCATTTAAAAAATCACTAATCGAATATCTTAAAATATTTACGTCAAAATCACTCTTCCAATAAAACGTTTTTGATATGTTTCTAGGTGATTGCAAGAGAAGCAAGAGACTTCAAGATCGGAGGATCTGCGTTTTACTACACGTTGATTGTGATCACAGGGATAGTGTGGCAAGGGTTCTTCTTAGGAGCCATAGGGGTTGTATTCTGTGCGTCGGCTCTGGCATCTGGTGTCCTCATCAGTGTGCTGCTTCCAGTTACCGAGGTTTTGGCCATCGTTTGCTTCCGGGAAAAGTTTCAGGCGGACAAAGGTGTCTCTCTTTTTCTCTCCATATGGGGTTTTGTCTCTTACTTTTACGGCGAGTATAAATCTGGCAAGAAAGTTGTCGACAAACACCAGCCGCTGGAGACAGAACTGCTTTCTCTTCAAGTTAGTGATTCTGTTGCTTAAAAGTCTTTTGCTTATTTACAGGAAACATTATGGTTATATACTTTGGATAAAAAAATAAGCTAAGAGAACCTTTTTCTATCTATTATGTTGTGTATTTTTGAGTGAATTTGTTAATGTTATTTTCTGTATAACTATTCATGTAGTGTAAAAAAACTGTATGTTATAGAAAGCAAAGAACGTACACCAAATGATTGTATATATGTGTTTCGCTGAAATTGTTATTTCTGGTAAAGCCTGTTTGGTTCAGTTTTATGATTTTATTACCGTGAGGAAATCTCCACTGAGAGCAGATAATTATTTGGAACTTGAATTCAGGAGATGAGCGATAATACTTGCCACCAATAAGATCAGTTTGCAAACAATTTGAATTTTTGACAAATTCAAACCTGCAAATGAAATAAAGACTAGTTTGAAAATTATCCCATGCACATATATTTTGTTATTTACCTACACGACACAACGGTCAAAATCAACAGTCTTCTTGTTTCCTGGACTGGAATAAAGTGGAGTGACTTGCACAATAAGTGTAAAATTCACAGATATTTGGACTCCAAGAATATCTCAGTCATCCATCGTTGATTTGATTCATAAGTCGACTTCTTATTTAACGTATTATGAACTAACACCACCAATTTTGACTTTTTCTTAAAGCTATCTATAATAGAACATATACAAGTACCTAGCTGCCATGACATATACTTTTCTTTTTGACAAAGGGTTTGCTAAATCATAACATTACTTCAATATTTAAAAAGACGTAGCAACTCCGATCAAATTATTAGATAAAGTTCCACCGGATTTGAAGGGGCTGATAATTAAATAATCACTTACTCGCCAAGAATCACAGAGTGGATTCGAACTTCCAAATATAAAGTTACAAGATGGTCTATAACCACAGGACTAAAGTGCAAATAGAAGATAAAACCATAGCAAATTTCATTGTAAAGCTGATCAGGTTACTTCTAATGCGAAGCTGCTCTGTTTACTCATTTTAAAACAAATTATAAGTTTTTAAGAGCCAAAACAACGATTATGTTCACTCTTTTCCTATCATGGTTTATTATAACTAACTTTCGTTAATAATATTATCTTACGTGCTGTTACAAAAAAGAATAAAAAGTTATCTTACGTTCAAAATCGGTAAAAAAAAACAACCCCTAATAGATCTTTTTTGTCACTTAATAGATTTGTTTTTGAAAAATCACATAGCCAACAATATCTGACCCGCCTAACAACATCTTGCTCTCAATTCATATATATCTCTAACATTAGTACAGCGATCGATATTTCTCTTTAATTAATCACATCCACCTTTTCTTGTAGAAATTTTCCTTTCTTGCTTTTCATACACGACTATCTTCCTAATAATAGAAAATAATTAACTTAACACAAAGACAGAAAAAGTACTTCTATATTTCTTTTTTTTTGGTCAAAAGTACTTTTATATTTCAACTCTTTTGTTTTTGTCATATTTAGTGTGTGTACATCAAAACGTGCTAGTTTTTTTTTCCTTTTTTGGAATGAACGATCAATATGTGTTAACACGTCTCCTTTTATCACGATAAGTGGAGCATACAGCGTTTTGAAGTCGCAAATGCACCGCTACGTAGTAAATGCTTCACACGATTCGCGACCAGAAACAAACGAAACGCACAAATACACAAAGACGCATGGCTCTTTGACCCTTTTGAGCAGATCATAAATCCCAAAATATAGCTAGCCCAAGAAATATATAATTAGAAAAAGGCAAATAATTAATATTTTGTTAAATCCAAATATGTTAAGATAGTATTCCTATCAGTTGGTCGTAAGAAAATGTGTATAAAATACCCATATGAACAAAGCAAGGCGTACTACTTAGAGACAACAAAAACAGCAAGAAGATGAAGAACGGTCTGCTAATCATAGTATGCATTTTCTTGGCTATAGGAACATGTGGAGGTCCTTTGTTAACTCGTCTCTACTACACAAAAGGCGGAACACGAATCTGGTTCATGAGCTTTCTTGCAACCGCAGGTTGTCCAATCATACTCATCCCTCTCTATGTCTCCTTCCTCCGCCGCAACCGCAACCGCAACAACACAGAAAACACCTATAAAACAAAACTTGTTCTCATGGAAAGTCCTCTCTTCATAGCATCCATCGTTATTGGGTTGCTCATAGGACTTGACAACTACTTATACGCATATGGTTTAGCTTTCCTGCCAGTTTCAACTTCATCACTCATTGTCGGGAGTCAGTTAGCGTTCAATGCGATCTTTGCTTTCTTCATGGTCAAGCAAAAGTTCACTTTCTTCTCTATAAACGCAGTCGTTTTGTTAACGGTCGCCACTGGGGTCCTGGCTTTACACAGCAGTGGAGACAGGCCGGATGATGTGAGGCACAAGGAGTATGTGGTTGGGTTCTTGTTGACTTTGATTGCAGCTGTTCTCTACGCGTTTATATTGCCGCTCGTTGAGCTTGCTTATAAGAAGGCTCGACAAGAAATCACTTTCACACTTGTGCTCGAGATGCAGATGGTCATGTGCGTCGCTTCTTCTTGCTTCTGTCTTGTTGGAATGCTTGTAAAAGGCGACTTCAAGGTAAATCAAAGAATCATATCTTTTATATATGGTCTTTTTTTTTTGCATTAGGGTATCTTTGGATTGATCTTTGATTGAGCGAAGATCTAAGAATTAGATCTTTAGTTATGCAGATTTTGATGCAAACCTTAATACTATTACTAATAGTAATAAATGAGTTTTCTAGATTTTCGAATTTCAAATTGTATTTTCCTTTTGGTTTTTACTATATCAAAAAACTAGTACGGATTTCCAAATAGTATAAAGAATATATAAGTAATTAGTAAAAAGACAAAATCCCAAAAAGCATGTCCTCCGTTTGAAGATTATTAGATTTTTTAAATATTATTTTTCAAAAAGTTACATTTCAGTTATAACTTGCTTTTTTTTTTTAATTTACTACTCCAGTTTTTATCAACTAATAGCAATTTATAAAAACAAGGATTATAAGTGTAAACTATTTATTAGTATATGTGAAAACCCTATAACATCTAAGTTATAGAAAAAAACGAATATTAAACATACAATTTAAAATTCAAAATCATCAACTAAATTACCAAAACAAAATTATTAAACAGAATATATTCAAATTAATGTAAAACCTATATTTTAAAATCATTCATCGTGTAACACGTTTTTGTTATATACACGTAGGCTATACCAAAAGAAGCAAGAGAGTTCAAGATCGGAGGCACAGTGTTTTACTACACGTTGCTTGTGATCACAGGGATAGTATACCAATGCTTCCTCTTAGGAGCCATAGGGGTTGTGTACTGTGCGTCGTCTCTAGCTTCTGGTGTTCTCATCAGTGTTTTTCTTCCGGTGACGGAGGTTTTGGCCGTCGTGTGTTTCCGAGAGAAGTTTCAGGCGGAGAAAGGAGTTTCCCTCCTTCTCTCTCTATGGGGATTTGTCTCTTACTTCTACGGTGAGTTTAAATCAGGCAAGAAAATTATCGATAGTTCTCAGTCTCCGGAGACAGAACTGCCTCCACTTCCAGTTAGTGGCTCTGTTACTGCATGAAGGTCGTTTACTTTTATGGGCTTTATTTTATGTGTACGCCTGACTGTGTTTTTGTATTACTTTTCTTCTTAAGGAAATCAATAATCCTACAACAACCACCACGTGACATTCCCCCGTGTTTTGGTCTCACTTACACGGTATCTGTTTTGGTCTCACTTACACGGTATCGCAAATCACTTCCTGATAGGTCACCCATCCTTTTGACATTTTTAGCTCACACACTTAACTCTGGAGTTTTTCTTGATGTGCTTCCGAAAAGCTAAATGTACTTTGATAATATAGATAATCAAATTAATTATTTTAAATTTTTCCATATATCACAACTCAGAATGTTACAAAAAACTAAAACTGAATATGTCTTGAAGATAACAGTCATTTGGAAAGAGCATACCGATTTCTAAACTGCGCGGATAAAAACAAATAGAAGAAGCTTGTTTGTGGATTTGAAGAAATTACCTACTCAAATAACCAAAAAAAACTAATTTGGCGATCAATAACTGTATACGCAAGTGTAATGTAAAAATATTTGATAAACAAAATAAACGATGACGGCAACATAAATTTAAAAAATCAAAGTGACGAAAGTTGTATGATTACATATATTATAATTACAAAATTGGATAAAATATTATCTTCGTTGAATGTCTGCATGACATCTATCATTATACAAAGATAAAGTGATACGTATATGTTAAATCAAATGATCTGTATTTGATATGACAACGATAAAAGTCAAAGAACTATGTAAGCTCTTTGAAAAATCTTCCAATTATAGAGAGAATAATTCTTATTTTATTAATGTCCTTCCACTAAATTAGGACAGCAGACATATAGTTGTTGGAGAGAAAAGGTACTAAAAAAATGGAAAGCAATACATCTAACTGAGAGTTGTTGCCAAATAAAGAAAGATGTCCAGTATCATATTGTAGATTTGAAAAACAAAAATGTACATAAAATCTAATATTGAATTTGGATATTATTAGGGCCATGAGATAATTACAAAGTTTTGATACGTACATCATTCGGTTCTTGGTGACTGTAGCAGCAGCTGTTATGTATGCCTTTCTCTTGCCATTAGTTGAACCTGTACTTACCAGAAAGCTAAGCAACCCATGAGCTACATAAACGCTCGTGCTCAAGGTCAAGTTTATTATGTGCTTCCTTACTTCGTTATTCAGCCTCAACGGTATGTTAGTCCCTGCATGGTGATTTCAAGGTTTGTCACTCTTTGAAACTTAGAACCTGCAAAAGAGTCTAAAAGAACAAGTGTTTCTGACTTAAGTCCAGAAGTCATTCACCATTTTGATCTGAGAGCATGAAAAAGATCCCAAAAGGGAGAGTGCAAGAGATAGACTCATCACAGAGCTTAAAGTTCCAAGAAGAGAAGAAGGGTCTTTCTCTTACTCTCTGCTTTGAGGTTTTGTCTCTTATTTTTCATGGTGAGAACAAAGCCAACAAGTATAAGAAGAATTCAGCTGGAGACAGAACTGAATTCTTTGCATAGAAGAACCAGAAGCGAGTGGTTATAACTTAAACGACGGAGCTTACAAAGACACATCATAAAGTATCATTCATTATTTCATTTCATCCACTGTTATAAGATTAGAGGACGTTTACAACTTGTAACTATGCAAAAATAACAAATTTATGAAGTTGTTTCTCTTTCATTATCACATCAAATGAGTTTCTGATAGAATATGAGGTCAAAAATTATGACCCTTCTTCTGTAATGCTATTGAACTGTTTTTGTTCTACCAGCAATAGATGCAAAAATTAGTCTTGCTTGTGCTGTCTTCTGCTGATTGCTTTTAGCTTTCTTCCTTCGTGGTTGGTGGTTTCATCCCACTAACTTTTTCAACAATATCGCCAGCAGCACCACTAAGGAGAAATCGCGTATGATTCGAGGACTTATCCTATCCCACCTGTAAGTTTAACCAGTAGACAGCTTCTGGTAAAGCCTGTTTGTTCATTTTCATGATTCTTCATTATCACCAGTGAGAGGAGATAACATTCAGTTGAATCACATTGCAAAGGAAAAATATTCAACAAACCACAAAAAAATTTAACCACATAGTTTTCGCACTGATCCCCCTAGAGATTCTAGTTGTTTGAAACTTGAATGCATAAAAAAAACACTAAAACAAACATATGCCAATAGATACATGCTTGTATAAGACAACCTATTTACCTACATATACTTTTTTTTCCGACTCTAATATCTAGCAGACACAAAATCCAACGCGAACATGTAAGCATTACTAAATCTTCTACTGTAATCAACTACATTCCTCTAAGATAAATTATGCCAGATATCCTTTTGGGTCTACTACCATCAGATAAATCCACATTCTACGAAATATAATGTATGTACTCACCAGCTTCCTTCAGCAGAACCATTCAACTCACTGTTGATTTCTTCCTTCGCAAACTCTTCAAGTATAGCGCGCTGACGTTCGTTAAGTTCACTAGAGAATACAGGATAATACCAATATCAGCAAAAGAAATCCGTTAAAACAAATAAGAGAGCCCAGCACATTCTACATGCCACCAGATTTCACGAAGCTGATCAAATCAACACTAGTTTTTAGAATCAGAAATAATCTCTCAGCGACGTCTCAACTTTTAGAGCAACAAAGTGTGTTGTCTGTCTAGAGAACAGCAGAAATTTCAAAACATAATATGTTTGTCTCCAACAAATTTATTACTTCCAAGTAGAATAAATCTTACGTAGGAACGCTAACACGGAGTCGCACATACTGATCTCCATGATCTACAAAAAATCCTTGTTTCGGTAGTCCTGCAGGAACTCACATCTTCAAAAAAGTACAACCAAACAAAAAAAAAGTTTAACCATATATATAGGCTGATAGTCAAATATGCACCTTTGCCTCTTAAAACAAGAAGTTCGCCAGGCTGAGCCCCCTTTGGTATCTGCAACAATTAAAACAAGTCACCCCTAGTATCTCCAAATGTTTGCGATCTAAAACATCATCTCAGTGAAAGGATGAAAGCCAACTTGAACTCAATTACAAATGATAAATGTCAAATTGTAGAGACCCATCCATACAACTAAAGATCTCACTGGAGGCGAATCTTACATCTATCTCTGTCTTGCCTGATAGTGTTGGCACCACAACTTTGCCTCCCAAAATGGCCTGTCAAATAAGTTTTTCAAGCATGTTCAGTATGGTTTGGGATAAATGGTAAAAAACAACGAGAATGATAAGACATGAAAGGAAGCATCATGTTAGACTAATATAGACAGTGTCACAAGCAATGCACTGGAAGCTTAAACCTCTATGGTTATATGGCAAAAATACAGCTGTAGCATGCATTTGAGTTTTATAAAAGGGTGCCATCAAATGAAGTTCGAACTGATTTGCTACATTATCTAATTATAGGACAAGAGCGTCATAAAGACAATGGTAAATAGAACAAAACTCGTTAATTTTCAAGTCGATGGCCAATAGAGCTTTTATTTTGTCATAGGACACTGTCTAAAATACGTACTGCAGAGCTTATCAGTTGGCAGTTAAAACTTTTTACCACATAGTGTCACCACGCATGAAAAACACAAGTTTAGAAGGTAATACTCTGCCTATAACCCATTCAGGAATGACCAGTGTGCTTACTTGTGTAAAGCTAATATTAGCATCCACATAGATATCTGAGCCATCTCTAGAGAATGTCGAATCATTAGTAACCTGTGAGCAGAAGAAGATTAGATACTTGTCATCAAGGGAAATTGCAGGATTCAGTAAGACCATAGATGAGGAAAGAATGATGACATATTATAAAACTACTTACGGAGTGTACAAGATTGCGTAACAATCTATTCAGTGGATGTAAATTTGTAAAACAAATTTAGAATAAATAGTGACAACCATACGAAAGTTTGTGAACAATAGTAGCCATCAGAGTAAACATATGACTTCAACGCTTGCACCATCTGTCTTTATCTCTTAGACTAAAGTGATAAAGTGATCATCATAAGACGAGACACATATGGTAGATCAATGTCAAGGCTGGGTTTGATTCAAAACTTCTCTAAGCACCTCTCAGGAAAAACAAAGATACAAAATTTGAAGAAAATACAGATGATTTTAACAAACCTTAAATTTGATATGCAAGTTTCCAGGTCGACTTGTTCTTGATCTTACATGACCAGCATCATGGATTGTGACCGTAGCGCCAGACTCCACCCCTTTGTTCAAGTAACGAAAAATTGGCAAATTAAAGTTTGACAGAAACATATCATCACGAACCAAATTGACTATCTGGTCCAGCAAACTTATATATAATGATACTCGAAATCACAGGTCCAAATTATTTGTTTCGTCTCTGCCGCAAATATCAAGTGCAGATAAAAGTCACTTAACTAGGTAATACACAGCCAAGCATAGTCTTAATAATAAGAGAAAGATACAAGCCAGCTATACTATAAGTGTGACAAATATGTAAATTGGGTAACATCTAAACCACACAAATTCTTAGAGAAAGGAGGGTAACAGTGTGAATGAAATCTTGCCACTCACTTCATAACAGAACTAGCATGCTTCAAACCCAAAATCAGGAAAAAGATGGAAAAATCAAGAAGACTTCATACTTACCCCCAGGGATCACAACTTCAACCGTCTTTGTGGCTTCCACGACCCCGGATCCCCTACACGACATGCAGTGCTCCTGAAGAGAGAGAGACAATACAAATCTATGCTTGTAAGCAGTGGCAGAGATATAACTACTGAAGCATCATAATAGATCTCTTGTTCTCAGACCTTAACAATGTGCCCCGACCCCTTGCACGTCTGGCATTGTGCTGTAAAAGGAGGAATAGTTACCTGTTAAAGAGACAGACGGCATAGTACTGTAAATATAAAGTGTACCGTTTACTAAAACTCCAAATAAAAAAACGATTATATTCTCTATTTGGAACTTACTCGTCCAAGTCCCCTGCATGTTGGACAAACTCTCGTGGCTGCATTAATAGCGTGGCCAAACCCATCTATAAAACAATAAATGATGAGAGACTGGAAATACCGGGTTGCATCAATAGTACTGTCAAATTAAGTGAGTCACTCGTCCTCTCTAAGTTGGCTTAACTCAGCAGATTTTAAAGACTAGAACCCCTTAATGTTACAAGAAACAAGAAGGCACAACTGTACAGTACAATAACACCAATGGGTGAGAGCCATTTCAAGAAGACCAATCTTTTACGAAATTATTGTTTTACCATTTGAACAAAAGCATATATACATGTATAGTGAACTCAGACGAGTTAGAACTTATCATTCAAAGCGTACAAACTCTCAAGTATCTTTACAGGAAATTCTGCGCACCATAACTGGTTTTATTAGTAAATGCAAAAGAGCAGATATCTTAAAAATCTGGGGCCACTCACCACAGGAATCGCAAAAGACATATGCATCAAATTCTAAACGCTTTGTGCACCCTTTTACAGCTTCGTAAAGAGAGAGTGTCAGTTCAACCTATTCAATTTTCAACAATAACAACACGATTTACAAATGCAGACCAGTTTCTGATCGTACAAAAGACTAAAGAGAGAATCAGATAAACTGACCCGAATATCAGGCGAAGGCTGATTAGATTGGTCCTCAAATATCTAAAATAAAAAACAAGTTTACTAATGTTAGAGACTACAAATCCACATAAATAGATAAGGCTAATCAAGAACAAAACAATGTACCTCAGAAAAAATCTTGTGGAACGAATCCGAGAAATTGGACTGATATGCACGTCTGAACCTCTCTGCACCACCACCGTCATTATTTACAAAATCTGAATTCCGATAACGCAGCTGTATTATGTGATAATAGCAAGAAATTGAGTTAGCGATCTCGCCATCAAATGAATGACAACCAACAAGACAAGCGTACATTATCATATTCTTCTCTTCTTTCAGAGTTTCCCAGAGTCTGCAGTTTATCAATCCAACAGAGAAGTATATCAGACGACAGATTCAAAATACGCATATGGAGTAAGGTTTAGTGGGAGAGGAAGAAAATAAAATAAAATACCTCATAAGCCTCTCTTATTTCTTGGAACTTCTTTTTAGCGGAAGGATTGTTTCTGTTGGTATCAGGGTGGAACTTTTTTGCAAGCTGCACGGTTGTACATCCAATACAAAAACTTGAGCGAACAATCGACAAATAGTTTCTCCTTGGCGCAAACAAAAAAGTATGAAAAAACTGAAGACACATTTTATATAAATACGGCTCACCTCATGGAATGACTTTTTAATCTCTTCCCGGGTAGCTTTGAAAGAAACACCAAGAACATCATAGTAATTACGAGCACTGGAGAAGGATACTCCTGAGAAAGCAAGTTTTCTAATGAATACAAATGATAAAAAAACACACAATGCTCTCCCTCAAGAAAGAAAATTAAAAAAAAAAAAAACAAGACCTGTAGCGTGAATGTAACGCTGGAACAAGAAGGGCTTCTGAGACCCTGCAAAGTGGTCAAGACTTCCAAGTAAATGTAAATGCGTGTTTCCTATAGATCAACACAAACATAAACTTTGAAATTCCCTAAGAGTGTAGCTACACCATTGTATCCCTTCAAAGGACATAACTTTCTTGCATCCTGATAAATCCTAAAAAAAACCCATTTTCCAGCTAAGCTTAATCACCACATTGGGACTCTGCTACGCTCGTAAATTCCTAAATTAGCTAAGATAAGGCCATAAATCTCGAAGAGCAATATGTAAATATCAGTTTTGATTCTCTAGACAATGAGTGTAGAATTATCGAATATTACCTGGTCGCAATCCGAGGGTGGAGTCAAATGTTCGTCGCGTCTGTAAACTCCGCAGAACCTACAAAGAAAAGATAAGCAGGGACGATTAAGCTCTGTAGCGGAATCGATTGGGAATCGAGAGAGTGGTGAAGACGAAGGAAGCAAACCGAGTTGAATCTTCGCATGATTTTGTGCAGAGAGAGAGAGGAGAGGTTTTTGGTTACAGAGTTTAAACCCTACGCAAATGCCCAGCCAGAGAGGAAGACGTTTTGTCTTTTCCTTGTTCGTCTGAAGTCTCTAGCTCATTCAGAAGGTCCGGAATTGGAAAGACCAAAATATCATCATGGTTTACATTGGCAATGATATGGCTATGTATATATATGCTAAAACTATCCTTTTTACTTGTTTGGTTTTGTGTAAAATGTAAACTCTTTCACTAGACTATGAGAATTTTTTGGGATATTTAATCATGTAATGTAAGTTATAATGAGAAAAAAAAGCTTCAATCGGATGCTGAGAAATATTAAAACATAACCCATGATCTCACATTTGCTTCTTGCAACATTTTTCTTTCTGCAGGTAGGATGGAGTGTGGAGAGATTTTTTTTATTGATTTGGTTATTTTTTTTGGTCAACCATCCGTCTAAACTAGATCAATTGATAGTCAGACGAGCTGATTCTCCGAAGGATCTATATGAAAAAAGATATAGCCTATGATCTTTGTTTCTTTTGCTAAAATGTATTTTCTTTTGGACATTTTTCTTACAAGCTTATTCTTTCTTTATTTTATGTTAAGGTTAATTATATATCAAAACTTATACCAAATTTAAAGAGTATGTATCAAATTATGTCACATGTTTCTTCTCATACGCACACGGCTGATAGTTAACTAACTATCTTGCTTAATAGTTGTATATTCTCCATATCTTCAACTAACAACTAATGGTGTTGTTTCTAATTCAAAGTCGTTAACATCTGTTGTAAATGTATGTAATAGTTTGCATAGGCTGCTAGGCACACCAAATCGAGGAATTGTCAACTAATAAAAGATCACAAGAACAACTAAAGACATGCATGAGAGAATCATTTAGTTCATAAAACTAAAGTCATCTAAAAAGAAAAATTGAAAAAAAAACAAACAAAGAAGACCATTAGCGAACGAAGGCGCTGCTTTAGAAAGACTTAAAAGTCTCGGTATTGATTTGGAAAGACACTACTATTGTATTTACTGCCCAATAACGACGTCTGATATTTACTGCCCAATATTCCCTCAAACAAGGCTTCTCTAGTCGTGTGTTTCGAGTGCAACTACACGGAGGGAGCCTGGAGATAACTCTGCATGATGTAGCGGAAGCTTCTAAATATAGAAATAGTGATCCGTTGATTCTGAGAATACCCGGATAACGAAGATAATCACAAAGATCTTATTTAGTCTAAGAATACCTAAGATCAATGTCTTTTTAAATTCGTTGAGATCACCAATGATCTACCGAAAACAAGGAACAAAGAGAGAATTCTCAATTTTATTAATCAAATCATAAACTGAATACAAACTTAAGACTAAACGGCTATATATAAGAAAACCATAAAAACCCTCAAACAATAAAAGTGATTATCCTATTAACAATAAATTAGATAATAATATTAAGAATATTTCCTACATATTCTCTCTACATCCCGCACTTCTTGGGTAATTACATGGCTAGTTGGAGCAATATCATGGACATTCTGGTGGACAATTCAAAGGACAAAGCACTTTGTGTCCTCTTCGATCGGTACGTTTTCCAGCTTTCTATTCACTCAATATGGTGGGGAAAATTAAAATGGTCGGAAGCATGGTGAGCAATAGAACTTAATGCTCCACGGATGGCTAAGTTCTTCGAGAAGAATGTTATATAGAAATAAATTCTCAACATTTTGGAGAATGAATTGCAATTTGCAGCAAATAGCAAAGATGCAATGGTGGAGAGGAATATAATAGCCATCAGGATTGCTACGAGTGTAGCCAGGGATCGCCGCTACCAGTCCTACTTGGCACAAGGTGGTCCGAGCTGGTTATCTTCTTCTCTCCTAGTAGAAGCTGTAGGAGTTGCGTCTGCCTCTCTCGAATTTAATCTTCTCCTTCCCATGAAGGTTTTTTTGCTGTTTGGCATCTAGTGATGTCCCTTTTCTTTTTTTTTCTTTCCATTTGTCATTCCTTCTCGTTGTTGTTACACTTCGAGGAACTAGAGATACAGCATGACATTTTCTTGTGTTTGATCTTCTAAATATGACACATCTAATGTAACAATGTTTTTGATTGAAATGAATGTAACATTCTTTCAACAAAAAAAAAATCACAAAGGCATATCGAAACATAAAGTTCCGTAAAGACCATTTAATAATGTCACTGAAAACAAAAACAAAAATTGAAAAGTACTGAGAAATTAAAAGAAGGCGCTAGCTGCATTACAAAGACACGAGACTCTCCATGTGATTAGGGAAAACATTTATACATTTTTCGTAGTTAGGAACTCCATCATCACTGCGTCTAAACTCATCATCCATAAATCCTTTAAACAAGGCTTCTCTAGTGGTGTTTCTCCTAGGATCGAAATATAGAATACGAAAAGAGTCAACAAAACTTCCTGGTGCAAAAACAAGCTCACCAGCATCAGTAATACCCTTGAAATGCATATGATTATTACTCCATTCCCTACTAAACCGTACACCAGGCAAACATTGACGCGTCCATTTGTGTCCATCTCCATCTTTCAAAATATATAGTTCACCAGTACCAAAGGGTAAGTCATGAGCAAATAAGGCTAGTCTTCCCTCATAGGGTATCATATTATGCATCCATCGAAAAGGAGAACACTCTGGATATTTTATAGGACTGAAGCTTTCAGATTTAACATCAAAGCTCATTATTATATCATCATCAGCTCTAGCTTGAAAATATAGAACTCCATTGAAGCATCCCCTAAGTCCTCTAACAGTTGGGGTATGCATAGGGATACCTTTGGTTACTCTTCTCCATGATTCTTGAGCTCCCAATGTAAGAATCATAGGCTTTACAAAATTATTACTTCCATAATAATATAATGATAGTACTTTGTGTTTACCCTCCAATGGATCGTAACCTAAATAAGACTTACGAGTATAAAGAGAGGTGGGGATGTGCCCTTTGGGACGTGGCAAGGTTAAAACACGTCTCAAGCTTGGGTTCCAAATCTTTAATCCGTATAATAAAATCAATCCCTGGACGCTCTCCCATTGTAGATAGCGATCATAATTAGTGTTTTCCATGTGATAACTATATACCGGAGAATAAGACCCGTCAGTGTTCTGGTTTTGAGGGAACGAGAAAACTAGTTTCTTTTTGTGATATTTAAAGGTTAGCAAGAGACGTGGAGAGGCCCGAGACGTGAATGAGTTGATAAAACTTGGAAGTCTTGTAATAGAAGACCACAACTTTGAGACACATTGATATCTCATGATTGATTTTGCAGGAAGTCTTGAGAGTATCTCCACGGTTAGATCAATAGGAATATGGTTTGGTTGTGGTTTATCATCATCTCTTGATCTCTCCTCTCGTCTTCTTCTCTTCTTTTTCTTCCATGGCTGATGATTCCTCGACAATACTTTCTTCTTAAAAACCCTCATTCTTTCTTTCCAGAGTTATATTCTCCCTTTTACTCGAATCAATTATATTTAGGGTTCGGTCTGATATATATCTTCGTGTATATAACAACGTAAACGGCACGATATATAATAAATATATCTCTATAATATTATTTGAGAAGTCACTTTCTTAGGTGTCGCGCTCACGTTAACTCTCACGCTGGTTGATTACTATGATACCCCTAATGAATTAAAAATATATTTAAATATTATTATTTCCTTTTTAAAATCTTCCAAATAACAATATAAAATAAAAAGGAAATATTTATAAAATTTACAAAACTATTTAAAACAAAAAATAATTATATATATAATATTTTCATAAAAAAGGAAAGTTTACAAAATAGTAATATTTAACTTAAATATATTTTTAAATAACATAAATTATACTTTTAAGTAATAAAATATTTATATCTATATCTTCTTAGATGAAAAAAATATTTGTATATAATGTTTTTTCATTACAAAAGTTCATACAAATAATCTTGATATTAGAAAAGAAATATTTTTTCTTTAAAAAAGTAATTTAAAGAATAAAATATATATTTTCAAATTAATTATTTTTTGATATATCTATCTATTTTATTAGATAATTACATAAAATAATTAAGTAACATAAACTGATATATGTTTAATTGACAAAAAAATTATAATTAGTATTATTGAAATATTTTTTTGTATATTTATTTGATTATAATATCTTACAATTACAGCAAAAAAATATAAATTATATTGTACTTATATAATATAATTTCTCAAAAACAATCACATTTTTACTGCATATTTTAATAGATGTTAAAAACAAAACTAAAAATAAATTTAATAATAAACATCTTTTGATCAAATAACTACAATTCTTTTAATATATCATAACACTATAATTTAACAAGGTATATATATTATAATTAATAGTTAAAATTATCTGTTTTCTTAATAACTCTTTTGATGTTTAATTTTCTGTTTTTATGTTTGTGGAATTTAATATAACCATAATCTAATACTTAAAGCAAATCAGAATTCCTTATTTCTAAAATTATTTTAAAAAAATTTCAGTTTATCATCCAATCAATCTATGGCATAAATTATTTAGAATTTATAAAATATTTTAATTATTGTAAATATTGATATGTGTTCATAAGCTTTCAAAAATTTATTATTACTTATGTAATTTAGAATCAGACACTTTAGTTTTTATTTATTTTTGTTCTAAGCACAAAAAATCTTAAAATACATAATCTTACTAAGATATGCTTATATTTCATTGATAACAACCAACATAAATGTAAATAAAATAATTAATCAAAAATTTAAGATATTTAGAATAAAAAAGGTTATAGTTGAATTCATAGAAATAGAAAGAATCCAATATATATATATATATATATATATATATATCCAAATGATAAAACTGACTAAATATAATATATATAAAATTATAATTACTAAATTAATATAATATTATTAATACAAATTATACATACAAACTATAAATTAATATAAAAATTTAAAGTAACTAGCAATCAACTATTATAATATATTTATTTCTTAAATATTTAAGCCCGTGCATGAGCACGGGAAAATCACCTAGTCGACAAATATATTACAAATAATTATTTTTTCGTAGTACAAAGAATTATTATAGAAAAATTTCATATTTACGATTTTTTTTTTTTGTAAATTTTACAAATAATAGTTTTCTTTTAGCGAATTTGAAAAAAAAAACAAAGAAGAGCATTTGCGATGAAGGCACTGCTTTAGAAAGACACAAGAGTCTCGGTGTGATTTGGAAAGACACTAGTATTGTATATACGGTAGCTAACAAGTGACGTCTAAATTCACTATCCAATATTCCCTCAAACAAGGCTTCTCTAGTAGTGTTTTCCAAGTGCAACTACACCTACACGGTGGGAGTATGGAGATTACAAGTCGCTGCACTTCATCGTCGGTAAGATTACACAGCTAGTTTGGAGAAATGTTTTCTCTATACGTTTTCCAACTTTCTATGCACTCAATATGGCAGGTATAAAATGGTCGGCAGCATGGTGAGCAGTAGAATTAAGGCTCCACGGATGGCTAAGTTCATGGAGAAAAATGTTAGAAATAAAATCTCAACATTTTGGAGAATGAGTTGCAGCAATAGAGGCTTGGTTTTGCATCGAGGAACTAGGGATAAAGCATGACATTTTTCTAGTGTTTGATCTTCTAAACAAGGACACATCTTCTGTACCAATGTTTTTGATTAAAACAAATTTTACATTCTTCCAAAAAAAAAAACCACAACAAAAGTCGAAAGGCATATATATAGTTTCATAAAGACCATTTAATGTCACTGAAAACAAAAACAGAGAAGAGCATAGAGAAGACGCTGCATTACAAAGACACGAGACTCTCCATGTGATTTGCGTAAACACACATACAGTCTGTTTGGTCGTCAGGAACTCCATGACTGCGTCTAAATTCATCACCCATAAATCCTTCAAAGAAAGCTTCTCTAGTACCGTTTATCCTTGGATCGAAATATAGAATATAAGACGAGTCAACAAAACTTCTTGTTGCAAAAACAAGCTCACCCAGTATCAGTAATACCCTTGAATTGCATAAGCTTCCTCCACTCGCTCTTAAAGGGTATAGGAGGCAGAGGCGCGCATTGACGCGTCCATTCGTGTCCATGTGCATCTTTCAAAATACATAATTCAACATCATCAAATCGAAAGTCACGGTTGCGCGGGTTTTGAAGTTTAGTTTATATAATTATTTTGAAAGTCAGGTTCTTACATCTCGTTTTCACATTTACAGATATTTCTTTTGTAAATCTTACAAATAATAGTTTTTGTGAGATAATTTACAAGTTTAATTCATTTTCTTTATATATATTTTTTCTCAAACTACATACACAAAAATTTTGATCAGTTGACAAAATATCTATCAAACTAAAAATATAGATCACTTTTTTTTTACAAAATATATAGATCATACATACTGTACATATAAAAAGTTATCTATATAAGCTAGTACGCACGGGTCGTTGACCGTCGATGGCAACTTGCAAATTCCATTCCCCCCCCCCCCTCTCATCTAATACATTTTAAAGGAAAAGGTCATGATTCATGAACATGATAAGTGTCTACCGTTCCACGTATGTCCCACGAAGGATAAACGTCACAATACGTAATATCTGAATTTTTAGAGTCCCCGCAAATATCGGGACAACTTTTTCTATATATAAAGCCCCTTTTATATAAAATAAAAACCGCTTCTTCTCTCTGGACGTTGCAACGTTTAAAGCGATCAACAAAACCTTCGTTTCTGTTCAGTCTATCCGGCCGGCGCCGGCTCCGGCGTCGGTTCGTACTCTACTTTTGTTGTTTTTCAATTTATGTGTCGTAGTTTATTGTGTCAATAAGTATGGTTCCATCAAAATCATCATCATCATCGACTTGTTATCTAATCAAGTCACGTGTCTTCTCGTTACGTTATCTCTCCTCCTCCGCCTACTGGTGTGTGATAGATTCTTCATGGGTAAACAAATTTTTGTTTGCTTACGGGTTCATAGTGCGGATATGGGGTTGGGATCAGATATCTGACGAATCCAGTTTCTCCCTTTTCGGTGAGTATATTATCTCCTTAATTGTTGAGTATCATTTTCAAACAAACAGAATTCTGGGATTCTGCGTTGTTGGCGTATTTCCGTGGCTAGTTTGGCACGATGGGTTGTTACTTTATGTAACTAATTTGAAAGGATTGCTAGTTCTTTGGAACAAAAAAATGAATCCTAAACTACCATGGCCTTGGAGACGATTAGGGATGATATATGCACTCGTTCGTTGGATGTGGACGATTGTGAGTTCCCTATTCCAGAAAGTTGGTTTTCATCCTTATTGGATAATAGGAGAGAAAGGGAATCGTATATGCAAAGATATGAAATGGAAAAAGATGGAGTCAGATGATTACCAAAGTCAATATGAGGGATGTCTCAGATTTTGGATAGAAATTACAACAATACATGTCATCTCCTGCAACGGGAGTGTATGGAATAGGCAACGGTGTAACAGATGGATCGTGCCTCCTGATCTACTAAGTGATAAAAGGCGTTGGATCACAATGGATGATAGCCGAACACAAGATCATATAAGACCGAGAACAACAATAGAAAAAGTTAGCGAATCAGTCTATCCTGCAAAAGAGTTAGGAAGCATCGTGTTATTACTTTTCTATTATCATGTTCAGCTTAAAAATGTATTTGTTGTATATTTCGATTCTGATACTCTGTTAAACCTCTTTTCATATTAATAAAATTAAGGTGTTATAAAAAAAAAAAAAAGCCCCTTTTATTTTATTCTGTAATGGAAAAGGTCATGAACACGATAAGTGTTCCACGTATGTCCCACGAAGGATAAAACGTCACACACAATACGTCATGGTTTAGTAAATTTCCTTTCCGTGACACAAAATAATATTTGACAGAGTACCCCCGCAAATATCGGGACAATTTTTTTATATATAACTCCCCCCCCCCCCACCTTTCCTCTTGCCCATAACAAACAAGAGAAGGTTAATTAACAGTACAGCGAGCCACAACATAGAAAGAAGCTCTCTGCTCTGGTGCATTTTTTTTTCTCAGTTCTTCTTTATTTTATTTTTTGATCTGAAACACTTGCTAGAGAGAAAATGGTGGATCCGGTGGGTTTCAGATTTAGGCCGACCGACGAGGAGATCGTCGACTATTACCTCAGATCCCGGTCGAAAAATATCGATGGTAACAAGAGTCATGTCGATAAAGTCATTAACACAGTTGATATCTATAGCTTCGATCCTTGGGAGTTGCCTCGTAAGTCTAACTAACTACTTCACTATTTTTTTTGAAACATCGGTTAGTTTCTGATAATATTAATGGCTTTTCAACATCGTTTTTTTTTAAATTATTTCTCAGCCCAGTCGAGTTCGATGAGGAATGCGACTATGTTATTGTTTGGTATGGAAAAAGGTAGTAAAGACAACAAATATAACGGAGGAGAGAGACAGAGCAGGAAAAAGAGATCTTGTTTTTTGAGGAAGACAGGAGTTAATGTCAACATGATCAACCCAACTGTCCAACAGCCCATGAAAAGAAAGAAGAAGAACTGAGCCAACAACAATGCAAGCCGAGAACCTCCATATAAGATAACAGCTCCCGTAAGAGGGTCGCAAAGTCTAACTCATGTGAAGAATGGTTTTATTAAGGTTAACTATATTGCAAAAATCATACAATCTTTACAGAGTACGGATCAACTTATGTCACATGTTTCTTAATTCTTCTCATACGTTCACAGCTTAATATTATTGTATATCCTCCAAATCTTCAACTAATTATTTCTAAGATAAAGCTGCTAGCGTCAACTGTAAATCCCATGTAATTGTTTGCATAGACACGCTAAATCATTAAAGATCACAAGAAAAACGAAAACATAACAGAATCATTGACTGTCATAAAAATCAAGTGTCACTGAGAAGAAAAGAGCAACAGCGAATTAACGAAGCGCTGATTTAGAAAGATACAAGAGTCTCGATGTGGTTTGAGAAAACACTCGTATTGTATATACCGCCGTGGATACCAACCCCATAACGACGTCTAAAGTCAACACTCACAATTCCTTCAAACCAAGCTTCTCTCCTAATGTTTCTCCTCGGATTGAAATATAGAATATATAACAAATTATAACCGCTAGATACAAAAATAAGCTCACCAGCAGCAGTAACACCGTTGAAAGATAGACCAGTAGTCATATGAAAACAGAATTCTTCATGCAACCATACATCTCCATTTGAATCTTTCAAAACATATAGATCAAGACTAATGTAAAATTCCCTATAAGGAATTAAAGTTAGCCTTCCCTCATAGAGTATCATATGACACGGTTGATAACAACCTTCCGGATATTTTATAGTACTGAAGCTTTCAGTTTTGACATCAAAGCTCATGATTATAGGATGACCATCAGTATCAAGAGCTGCATAATACAAAATCCCATTGAAGCATCGTCCATGTCTTCCTATAATTGGGATATGAATAGGGCAACGTCCTTTGGGTATTATTCTCCATGATTCTTGACCTCCCAATGTAAGAACCTGAGGCTGATCAGTATATTCCTTTCCCGACATGAACAAGACTTTGTGTTTACCTTCCAAAGGATCGTATCCCAAATAAAAACGGTATCTCAAATAAGGCGAATCATTATCCGAGATGGTTTCTTGGGGTTGTGGTAAGGTTAAAAACTGTCTCAAGGTTGGGTTCCATACTACAAGCTCCTTTAATAAAATCAAGCCATGGACGCTCTCGGATAGTTTACTATCCGAATATTTAGGGTTTGTTATCTGATAACTGTAGTACGGAGGATATGACCCGTCTTGATTCTGGTTTTGAGGAAAAGAGAAAACGAAGTGCTTCTCTAGTATTGAGAAGGTGAGCAGAAGACGCGGTGGCCGTGAAGTGGACCGAGACGTGAATGAGTTGATAAAACTTGGAAGTGTCGTGAAAGAAGACCATAGTTTCGACACACATCGATATCTCATGATTGATTTCGCAGGAAGTCTTGAGAGTATCTCCAAGGTTAGATCAAAAGGAATATGGTTTGGTTGTGATCTATCATCATCATCTTGTGTTGCTTTGTGGATCTCTCTTGTCTTCTGATCCCCTTGTTCCTCCATGGCCGATTAATTGCTCAACAATGAAAAATATTAAAAACCCTAATCCCTTCTTCCAACTTTATACTTTCTTCTTGAAAACCCTCATTCTTTTCTTCCAGTTATATTCCACCTTGAGGTCCCATATATATACACTTAATATCTATCTTACAATAACATAGACAGCTAGATATCTCATTATACATTAAATTTTTCGTACTATATAAAGCTTGGTTATAAAGGTTGGTAGATAATTTTCCTTTTAAGAAAATGCTAATCCAAAAAAAAAATCTATACTAATTAACATGATTAGGACATATGACAATAAAAATTCAAAATTATGACATGTGTTCAAAAAATTTCTAAACTATACTATTATATAATTGTAATTTACCTCTTAAAAAACATATTAAATCAAAAGTTAAGATTTGCTTCCTTATAAATAATTTAATTCTATTTATTTTTGACTGAGTGTTGATTATATTTCAAATTTTATTTTAATTTCTTATGTATATTTTATAAAGGTTGGTTTTAAAAGTATCTTTTATAAAGCTTGGTTATAAAAGTTTCTAATTACTAATTAACATGTTTGAGACATATGACAATAAAATTCAAAATTATGACATGTGTTCAAAAAATTTCTTAACAATAATATTATATAATGGTAATTTACCTTTTAAAAACATATTAAAATTAAAAACTAAGATTTTCTTCCTTATAAATAAATAAGGATAAAACTTTTTGTTATCTAATCTTTATTATTCATAATCATTAATTGTAATATACAGTAAAACCTCTATAAATTAATAATGTTGAGACTTTAAAATTTTATTAATTTATAGAGATATTAATTTACAAAAAAACTTATTTAAATTTCTTATTTTAAAATATATTTATTCTAAGATAAGAAAATATATGATGTTAGTGTATCAAATTTTTTTTTTTTAAATTTGACATTGATATTAATTTTATTATATTATTTTATGTATATAATATATATTACATAGTATTTAAATATGTGTTTAGATATAATATTACTAAACTCATCAAAAATATATTAAATGTTAAGAAAATATAAAGATAATTCCATTGTGAATAAAAAATAAACAATATAATGATAGGTTCTACTTATATAAATATGTATATATAAATTATTAATTATAATTTTAATGGGACCATATATTTACATAAAATTTACTTAAAATTATTATTTTATTATTTTATTGATTTGTGTCAAATTTTTAATCAATCCAAATTGTGACCAGAAGATTCGGCGATCGTGAAGACGTGAATGAGTTGATAAAACTAGGAAGTGCGATTGAAGAAGACCATAGTTTCGACACACATCGATATCTCATGATTGATTTCCAAGGAAGTCTTGAGAGTATCTCCAAGGTTAGATCAAAAGGAATGTGTTTTGGTTGTGATCTTTCATCATCATCATCTTGTGTTGCTCTGTGGATCTCTCTTGTCTTCTGATCCCCTTGTTCCTCCATGGCCGATTAATTGCTCAACAATGAAAAATATTAAAAACCCTAATCCCTTCTTCCAACTTTATATCCCACTTTGTATTTTAAAACTAAAATTAAAGTATATATGTAATCTTTTTTTTTGCAAAAAAATATATTTTAAATTACGTTTTCTATTTTTTGTTAATTTTTTTGAATGTCACTAATATTTGATGGCAGAGAAAAGGATTGACTAATATTTACATCTAAATTACTAGGTTTTCTTTTATTTTATTGATGTAGTTATTATAGGATGGGTATTATGATATTCGAAGTGTTTTGTCCACACATAAGAATACTTATTAGTTTACATTTTAATAAATATAAAACCAACATAATAAGTTATTATTGATAGTTTCAAAAATTTTGAATCAAATTATAAATGACAATACTCATATGTTAAAAAAAAAATTAAAAATATATTTATACAATTATTTTTGTTTTATTCATATTTAACTATAACTTTTCATATCTTAATTTTAAATTTTATAATATTAGATATATTTTAAAGTTAAGAATATAATATATAAGAATTATTTTATTTCTAAAATATAATATTATTAATATAAATTTGTTTTAGTTATATAATAATATATATATAATCATTAAAAACATGAAATAAGTAAAATTACCTAAAATCATGGAAAGTTTACAAATAAACAAATCTATTTTATCTTATAAAACATATAATTTTTTAATAACATTTTTTAATTCTATAATATATATATATATATATAATTTATTCAAAATGTGACAAATATATAAAATTACCTAAAATCATGGAGAAATTGACAAATTTGCAAATTTACTTCTCAAATAATAGTATACTAGTTGATAATCTGCGCATATGTGCGGAGTAAAATTTATATATTAATAATCACTGAATACTAATTTTGATCGTTCAACCACCATGTCATAATTTTAACCGTCAATAAAAGGTTGATAAATAAGGTAATGTTTGTTGATATGTTTGATTTTTTTTAAAACCTATTTAAATACATTGTGCTTCAATAATATCATCCGGATGTTAAAATTCACCATTTCACTTTGATATGAAATTTTTTATTTTTGAAATAAAATTAACTTTTGAGAGTCACGCTTGCTCGAAATGAACATTATTATGTATACAAATCATTTATACATATTATTATTTATTTTATCTTCATTTACGTATTATGTAATAATATGTTTATTGAATAATTGAGAAGCGAGTAACTATTACGTATATAGCTAAAGTAAACATATAAATAAAAACCATCCCTCTTTGTATTAACAATATTGTTTTGTTGGTAAAGAATCAAAATAATTAATAATTTATTTTATATGTTACATAATTAAAATTAAATTATATTAACAAAAATATATAATATATTTTAATATGAATATTTAGTAATTGAAGTTCATAGTCGTATGATTTAACTAACATTTTTATATTTACTATAACAAATATTATTTTTATTTATATGAATATTTATTAACCGATGTTTCCTATTCAAAGAAAATTTTGAAATAACATGTTTATGTGTTTTATATATATATATATATATATATATATATTAGAGATTTCATATTTATATGATTTTATGATCATTTTGTATTTTGTTATAACAAAAAGTTAAATCATTGATCACAAAAATTTCAATGTTGATTTTTAAAAATTTTAGTAATTTATAATCGTTTAAAAAATTCAAATTATAGCATATAAGAAAAAATCTAAATTTTTTTATATTATTAATATGATATTTTAATTTATTTTAAGAATATAAAATTAAAAAAAACGATGGAAGATAGAAAATTGTTATCAAATTTTATTATTCAAAATCATTAATTGTCATATATTTGTTAACCCTAGGTAATTACGTAACTTTTATTTAAGGAAATACGAATAGGGTGATGGAGATACGAGTGTGATGACTGACAGCTCGTCGTTACCTAGTTCTGACGAGCCAGAGTCTCAACACGCCAGTTGAGATCTATGAGCTGCAGAGGGGTGTGGTGTGAGCAAAAAATCCGAGAACCTCCATAGAAGATAACAGCTCCCGTAAGAGGCTCGCAAAGCCTAACTCTGTGAAGAATGGTTTACTAAGGTTAACTATATTGCAAAAATCATACAATCTTTACAGAGTACGGATCAACTTATGTCACATGTTTCTTCTTCTCATCCTCCTAATCTTCAACTAATTATTTCTAAGATAAAGCTGCTAGCGTCAACTGTAAATCCATGTAATGGTTTGCATAGACACGCTACATCAAGGTAGGGTAAATCAACGAGAACATAAGAGAAGCATTTACTGTCATAAAAATCAAGTGTCACTGAGAAGAAAAGAGCAACAGCGAATGCAGCGCTGATTTAGAAAGACACAAGAGTCTCGGTGTGGTTTGGGAAAACACTAATATACGGCCGTAGCTAAGTCCATAACGACTTTTAAAGTCACCATCCACAATTCCTTCAAACAAAGCTTCTCTCGTAATGTTGTTCCTCGGATTTAGATATAGAATGTAAAGCGATTCATGCTTGTTAGATGTAAAAACAAGCTCACCAGCAGCAGTAACACCGTTGAAAGATAGACCTCTAAGTATATGAAGACAGCATTCTTCATGCAACCATTCCTCTCCATTTGAATCATTCCCTCATAAAGTATCATATGACACGGCAATTGATATCAGCCTTTTGAAAATTTTATAGGATTGAAGTTTTCATGTTTGACATCAAATCACATTATTATACGATGAGCATCAGTATCATAAGCTTCATAATACATAATCCCATTAAAGCATCGTCCATATCCTCCTATAGTTGGGGAATGCATAGGACAACGTCTTTTGGTGATTATTCTCCATGATTCTTGAGCTCCCGATGTTAGAACCCGAGGCTGATCAGTACATTCCATTCTCAACATGAACAATACTTTGTGTTTACCTTCCAAAGGATCTTATCCCAAATAAGGCGAATCTTTAACCGAGATGGTTTCTTGGGGTTTGTGGTAAGGTTAAAAACCGTCTCAGTGTTGGGTTCCATACTACTACACGCTTCCTTAATAAAATTAAACCCTGGAAGCTCTCGGATAGTGTACTATCCGAATATTTAGGGTTGATTTCTCAAATATATGTTAACTCCTTCTTAGTGTCTGTTGGATTCTCAAATAATACCCAGAAAATAAAGTTTCAAGAGTTGTTTAACTCAAATTAAAGTTCTAAATATTTTATAAATCAAATCAGAAGTGTCTCTTACAAATCAAGAGATCACTAATGTTTATCTAGAATAATAATTGGAATTAAATAAGAACCTAGAAAACCAAAGCTCTAGAGGATAACGATGTACTCTAGATCAATTTGGATATCTGGTATTGGTAAGAGAAGACCACAGCTTCGAGACACATCGAGTTCTCGCGATCGATTTCAGAGGAAGTCTTGTAAGTATTTCCACGGTTAGCTTAACAGAAATAGGGTCTACTTTGCATCTATCATCATCATCATCTTGTGTAGCTATGTTGATCTCTCTTGTCTTCTTAGCCT